AGAGCGAGTTTACAACAAAACTCTCTACTTCAGAAACTAAAACTGTTGCCACTGCTGCACCAGAATATACTACAGAATCCTCGGAAACTGAATTTACTACACAAAAAGAAGTTGAACAAACCACCGAAAAGTCTAAAGAAGCTGTAACTATAGAAGGTGAGTTTACAACAAAACCCTCAGTCGAGAGTACTGATTACACGACATCAACTATCGAAACTACTTCCAAAGCAGTGGAATCAACAACTAAATCCACCTTAGAAACCGAAGCTCCTACAACGGAAGTATTTATTGAAACAACAACAGTTTCCGATAAAACCACTGAATTGTCCACTGAAATTGAACAAGAAACAACAATAGTTTTTGGAAAAACTACGGGTATACCATATGTAACAACCACACCTTTGACTACCTTAAAGGAGGAAACTACACTGGCCGCAGATATTACTAAAACTCCTTCGGTAATAGTTACCGGTAAAGAACCAAGAATTGACTTGACCACCCTACAAATTATGGACGTAGATAAATATGAATCAACTAAAGGTTATGCTGGACAAACTTATTTACCGCCAATAATCGCAACCACTCCAAAAGAAATTCAAACGACAGTTGGAGAATTAGCCACAACTAAAATTCCCATGGACAGAACCACAACCACGATTCTAACAACTATGAAATCTGACGGAGAAACAACAATGTTTGAAGCTAAAGAAAAAACAGATACGTCTACGGAAATAACTAGTTTTATGGAAACCTCCACCAAGATTTCAACTGATACTTCAACTACACCGAAATTGTATGAAATCGAAAATGTAACAACATCCTACGATACAACAAAATCTGTTAGTACTAGTAGCACAGACGAATCTTTAGTAACAACAATATCAACCTTAGAAAGTCAAACTGACAAGGGTTTAGAAGAAATAACTAAACCATCAGTTGAAAAACCTTCAACTAGTGTAACATCTATCGAAACAAGTACTGTGTCTATAGAAAGTTTAGAACAGGGTAAAGAAGTAACATTATCTACCGAAATTCCCCAAACAACAATAACTGAACCCAAGGAAATAACTAAGGAGACTGTAACAGAAACTGCAACAAGTTCATTATTACCCAAAGAAACGACAACTATGAAATCAACAACATTTGCTTCAACTATTGGTGAAACTACTCCAACTGTTGCAACCAAAATTGATACCACACTGTCCGAAGTTTCTGCTCGAATTCCATCAACAGAATTCGGAACTACAAAGTCTGATGAGTATGAAACCACTACACAAAGTTCAATTGCTATTTCTACCAAATCGGAAATAGAAACGTCTGCAATAGAAATGGAGCCTGAATTTTCTCCAATAACAGAAATAGTCGATACAACAACAACCACAAGATTATCTATTTCAACAGCTGCTACAGGCGTACTAAAGGAAACAACACAGTTTCCAACTACAGTAATAAGTACAGCTAGTAGTGTATCAGAGGATACTACAAGTGAAACATATACTGTTACAGAGAAAACGACATTACGATCTTTGCCAGAGGAAACTACATTCACAGCTGAAATAGAACCTAAAGTTTCAGATACAACTCCATTCAAATACGCAACACAATTTCCAACTACAACTGAATTACCATCTAAGGAAACTAGTGAAATTTTCACTCCAACTACTGAAATAACTACCACAGCTTCTCAAAAAGAAACGACTGAAATTCCAGCAGAAGAAACTATAAAGATGGCGATATCATCTAAGGAAACCACAACTATTTCTGGTGAAGGAAAGGGAACGACTGAAATTCCAGCAGAAGAATCTACTACCACTATTCTTGAAGGAAGTACCACAAAACCAGTTACCGTCACAGAAATACCTTCTACTATAACTTCAAAGGGAGTAACAGATACTATTCCAACAAGTTCTCCAGGAGAAATTACTACTGTTATGCCTATGGAAGTAACTACGGAATCTGGTTTTACAACTAAAATATCTTCCCAATTTCCTTCTTCAAAGGAAACTACTCAAATGCCGACCACAACCGTAGTAACATCAAGAGACACTACGAATATAGTGGGAAAAGAAACCACGGAAATTCCAATTAAAGAAACAACCTTAACCTATGAAACTGTTACAGAAATACCAATTACAGTACTTCCAGAAGAAAGAATTTCAACCATAAGCGAGTCATTGATTCCAACAACAGAAATTACCACTACAACATCAATGAAGGAGAAAGAAACTACACAACCTAAAGAAAAAGAAACAACGGAAATACCAACTACAGGTACCCTTGTGGAGGAAAGTACCGTACTATCTGTTACAGTTCCGGAAGAAAAAGAATCTCCCGAAATATCAACTACAATTATATCTGTCGAAAAAACCACTGCAATGCCCGAAACTGTTCCAGAAACTCCTGTTGCAATACCATCAGAGGAAGTAACAGAAATGCCTGCAACAACTATACGTTTTCCTATAGAAGATCAAACAACTAAATCCCAAATTCCAATTACAATGCTTCCAAAGGAAACCACTAAAATCGCCTCAACAACTATTCTTCCATTAGAAGAAACAACTGAATCTTTCACAGAAATTGAAACATCTTCTAAATCCATAGCTACAACAGAATCAATTTCATCGAGTCTGCCATCAAAAGAAACGACTCTTTTTGAAACTACAAAAACTCCAGAAAAATCCACTACATCGAGTAGTACAGATTTGCCGCTAGAAGTAACAACTAGTGAAACATTTACCTCAATAACTGAAATGGAATCCGAAATTTCTTCAACAAGTATGCCATCAGAAACATTCCCTCCAAAAGAATCCACAACTACTGTTAGCTCTAAAACTGAAACTTCAATACTTCCAGAAATAATCAAAACTATTGAAAGTTCTACTCCAACAGGACTAGTAACAGAAATACCTACAAAAGAAACCACCGAAATTCAGAAGGAAACCGAACTGCCTTCAGTAAGAACTACTATCGTTAGTGAATCTTTTACAACAGAACCTGAAATAGCTTCCGAATTGCCTGTCACAATAATGCCTAATGAAACTACAATAACTACTGAAACAACCCGAGCTGGTGTGGAAATTGTTAACAATGTACCAATTGATATGGTGACAAAAACTGAATCAATACCAACAACTACAGCAGAAACTTCTACCAAATCGACCACGATTGCAGCAACAATTTCCCCTAAATACAAAGAAACCACCGAAATTTTCTACACTACCGAAAAATCCACTACGGAAACAATTAAACAATTTAATCTAACAACCTTAGTAGCTAAAGAGGTAACTACTTTGAAACCCTATTACACCACCCCAACTACCTTGGTGTATCCACAAACATTTGGACCCATGAATTATACTACTACCGTTACGCTAACCTCTAATAAAACCGAAGTTTGTTGCATTACCGACTATGACTGTGAAGACGACGAGACTTGCATCGGACGACGCTGTACTAGACCCTGTGACTATTATCCGAATATATGTGAAAAATATACGCCCACATTTAAATACTGTCATACCCTTAATCACACAACAATGTGCTACTGTTCCCAAGCTGATCTACTGTTCCCAACTACCACCGATTGTCGTATAACAGCAGGTAACTGAATTTTAGAACAAAACAAAAATCAAGTGTTTTCCACCTACCACAACGTGTCTTCTTCTTTTCATCTTCCTGGAATGCAAATGTTATGCGAGGTTAAGGTTTTAAAGGAAGACTCAATGATGAGTGTGTGTACAGGGGCAGAAATCTCATTGAAAACATCGTATGACTAGATGAAATGAGATTTGCCATCTATGCCCCTAACCTACACACGGTCACACCATCAAGGAACGTCTTGTTGTATCCGCATCAATACATGTTTTTTCTCGCTCTGTCCTTTCTACCACATTGAAGTAAATGAAGGAATGAATTCACCCACCTTTTCCAAACCACTAGCTACTCAAACTCTCTCTCTCTCTCTCTTACTTTCTTTGAACATATACCGACACCCATTCTCTCCTCAAACAAAATCATAAACTTTCTTTTGAGTTAAGAAATCTCTTGAGAGAATTCCTTGAAATTCTCTGGAATGTCTGCATGTAAAATTACACTTTTTGAATGTTATTTTGTTTTCTCTCCACTCCTACTCTCTCACTATTTTTGTAGCCTGCTCTGGTTAGTTATTACGCTGACTTGTCAATTTATTTTTTTATGTTCTCTGTGGCCCTCTTAAATGTTTTTCAAAGATCTGTTTAGCACTCTCTTTAGAACAATTATAATAAATCATTTCAATAAATGTTTAGTTTTAAGGGATCTGTACAAATAAGGATTTTATGGTTAAAAGCATGTTTAGCAACAAATACTTCTGTTGTTGTATTGTTTTATATTTCTACTCTTAGTTACTCTCTTACCTGATAAAAAGCTCTTAAAGAAATGTTTGCTTTCTCCACAAAATGTTGCATGTAAACATTTGTTTGTTGAAAGATTTGCAAAAAAAAAAAAAATTTTCTTCAACTAGTATGCGAAAATAGTGTAAATAATGTAAAATGATGTATATATTATGGTAAAAGGTTTATTAAAATTAATTATATTATACTAACACTGGTTATGGCAAGCTTTTTATATAGAGTTTTTAGCTTTGGACTTATAAAAACGCAGCATGTGTATATGTTGTATGGCTTTTTAATAAAACCAAAACAAAGTAGACATTTTTTTAATTAAATGTTTAATAATTTTTAACTCAAAATCATAACAACTAATAATTTCAAAAAAAAATAATTTTAAACTATCAAATACCAAAGAACATTTGTTTAGAAAAAAAATATACAAAAAAAGTTTTCATTTTAGTTAAAATTCAATAAACTGAAACAATCAAACTGAAAACTCTTCTATAAATTATTTACAAAACTTTATTTTACCCATTAAGAGAATGATCTAAATGTTTATGTATTTAATTAGCAAAATATTATAATATTTATTGTTTTATTTTAATTTTTCAACTTAATAAAATGCAACAGAAATTGGCTGTGCTTCCAACAAGGAATGTCCTGCTCAAAAAGCCTGTATTAATGCTGTCTGCACTGATCCTTGCTCATTGGCCAACCATTGCGGTCCTCAGCAGGAGTGCAAGGTTATTGAACATCAACCGGTTTGCTCGCGTGTATGTGAATGTCAACGTAGAAAAGATTGTCCAGCAGGTTTTGAATGTGACGGCTGTCAATGTCATCAAGAAGGTAAGAGTGATTCAAATTTTTAGGGCTCTTTTAAGCTTTAAGGGTTAAAAATATTTTAGAAAAAATATTAACATTTAAAATACTTTTTTTAGGTATAGGCCGCACACCAGTCTGTGAGCATTGTGCTCCTGGTTATCGCTGTGAACCCACTACTGGTGCCTGCATACGAGGTAAGTTTGAATTTTGACAAATTTTCCATTTCTACTAAATCATAACAAAACATATTTGGCTTTTTTTTAATAAAATTTACTAATATAATCCTATTGTTAAACACTTAATAAAAAATTAAACAAATATTAAAACTTTTTAACAATTTTTAATAAATTTTTGTAAATTTAAAATATTTGGAAATTCAACACTTAAAAAAATCATTCATATTCACATTTTACTAATTTAATTATTACAACAAAACTAAACAATTTGTAAATATTCAAATTTTGTATATATGTTTCTTTCATAATGACCTTTCCAACCCCACCCACAAAATAAAAAAAAAATAAACTATAACCAAATCGAAAAATCACCAACAACACCAACTGTGTAAATATATATTAACGTATGACCCCGCCCCCTAAACCAACATATACCACTTTCAAAACTAATAGATACAAAACCTACCATAAATACCACCACCACTACTACTACTACTCCAATTCAAACAACATCAACATCAACACCTAGTATAGTTACCGATAAGGATATAACAACGGTAACAACTACCACTACCATTATCACAACCTCCTCTACGTCCAATACAACTGGACGCCCAAGCGCATCTACACCAAAACCAAAAACTACAAAGAAAGAAGATGAAGGTGAAGTGCCGACAACGGTAACGACGGAAGTAGAGAAAACTACAACTCCCAAATCCAGTACTACCACTACTGCCCCAGATGTTACAACTGTTACCGACTCTATAGAGAGCACGACTCCTGGTAAAACGGGCTTAACTAAACATTATCGTGATGGTGAAAATGATATAACAGATGCTACTACCACTACTACACCGGCAGCAAAAGTTTCCTCAACCACTCCTGCCACAGGAGAAGATGTGAAGGGTCCCTTTGATTATAGAACTACACCCAAAATGAAGACTACACGCATAGATACTTCCAATGAATTGGATGAATTTAATATAACCACACTTTTGACTACAACACCGAAATACGATAGCACTACATTCCCCGTTATGATGGTAACAGAAGATGCTAAAGCTAATGACAATCTTACCACACCTCCCACTATGGTAACCGAAAAGTCCACTATGTTCCCAGTGCTAACACCTGAATCCACCACACCTACACAAGAACCAGTCACAATGGCTGGAACTACGGTCTCCACTTCGCCCGAAATAATGGAACCTCTCACTACTACCACTACTAAAGAAACACTAACACCCGATATAACCACATACAGACCTGCCATTATAGTGGAAGGACCCTCTACCATGCAACCACAAGTGGTAGAAGACTTAACCACTACCATGTTTCCAGTCCTAACGGGTATGGTTACCGAAATGTCTGAAGTTCCAGGCACAACAACAACACTCAGTTCCGTTGATATGGTAGTTGAAACAACGACTTCAACATCGCCTTCACAGTTAGATAATAAAACTAAAATCGGTGTCATGGGCACCACTACCACAGAATCAATAATTACTACTACTACTATCCCTAGTATAAGTACTACCACTCCAAGCACATTGATCACAGTTATTAACACTACTTGTACAGTTCATACTAATTGTGCCCCCAATCAATTATGTATTCTGGGCCAGTGTCGTTTTAAGTGTCGTGGTGATGGAACCAATGAAAACAATTGTGTAAAAGGTATAATTTTTTTTAATGAATAAATAACAACATTTTTAATTAGATAACTTATAGGTTTATACGTTTTTTTTGAAGAATAGAGTTAGAAGATAAATACATATATGTAAATATTAGTACCAGTCCATTTAAATTTTAATAGTACAATTCTTGTCGGATCAAAGTTCATTCAAAATAGCGGGCTTAAAATCGAAAAACCACCTTTTTTTGGTCAATTTTAGAGATGTTCATGCTAAATGTAATAATAGTTTCTCAAATATTTCAATGTTTGTATTTTATTCATTTTGGAGATGCCACATGCCCTATTAATATAGATTTTAATGTTACCCATACACAATTTTAGGATTATAGCTGTATAAGATTCGCATATATACAAATTTTTGTATTAATTTATTGCAAGTCCGCCGATTTTTTTTCTCCAAATGTTGCATGAATGTCAATGTTCTTCTTGCGAAATTTAAGGATTCTAGCACTAATAGTTTTCCATATAAACGAATTTTTGTATTTAATGAATATGGGAGGTGCCACAGCCCCGATTTTAAGTCCGCCCATTTTTCCCTAAATATTCACATGGATGTCAAAGTCGTTCGTGCAAAATTAGAGGATTCTAGAGCGAATAGTTTTTCAGATATGTGAATTTTTGCATTCAATTCTTATGGTTACGCCCCCTATTGCTATTCCGCCCATTTTTTGTCTTAGAAATTCGTATTGAACTAAAGTGGCTCCAAAAAAAAATTGAGGATTGTAGTGTTATATTGTTTTAGATATACTAAATTTCATTCTATGGGAAACCGGTCATTTTGTCCTGCAAGACTAGGATTTAAACCTGATTAATCCAAAAGATTTTGAACAACATATGTATATATCGAATATATTAGATACAGATTCCAATTATTTACTTAAATATTATATACAAACATCCAACTAATACTTTGTACATACAATTCGTTTAAAAATTGTAAATATTATTTCAAAAAGTAAAAACCACATTTTCCCTGAGACCTACCATGGTCCGCAAGGCATTATTAATAACATGTACATATAAACCAACATTAGTTTTAAATATTTCAATTTATTTATTAATTTATTTATTTAATTTATTTAATACTATTTTACATTTTTAACCAAATTTTTTTTTAATACAATAATATTTTTAACTTTTTTTCTAACCAACAAATAAAAATAAATAATGAAATCACCTACCTCATCAACTAAACAAAAAAACATGTAGAATCACCAGGTTCACCTAAAAATCCCGAACCCTGTCGTTCGAATAACGATTGTATTGAGAGTGAAGCATGCTACATGGGTCTGTGTCAAGATCCATGTGAATTTGCTAATGTTTGTGCTCCCACAGCCAAATGTGTAGCGAAAATGCATCGACCCATATGCTCATGTCCAACTGGACATGAAGGTAATCCCACCGTCAAATGTATGCCAACCGACAAATCAAGTAAGAATACTAAAACGAAACTAAAATATTCATAAATTAATATTTTAACAAAGAAATAAATAAACTAAATAATAATATTAATATTGTAAAATATTTCTATAACTAATTCCTTTAAACTTTTTTGTGTTCCTTTCCTTTAGTGGAATGTGCTCATGATAGCGATTGTTCTATAACGGAAGCTTGCATTAATCGTCGTTGCCAACATCCATGTGATGCTCACAATCCTTGTGCCCAAAATGCTGTATGTATTAATACCAACCATGCTGCCGATTGCAGTTGTACCGATGGCTATGAAGGCAACGGTTATGTGGGTTGCCAACCAGGTATGTAATTTTCAATGTATTCTTTGCTCTTGAATTGTTTTGCACTATTTTATATAAAACATTTTCTAATCTATAAATATCTTAACTTTTTCTTATCATCTAAAATCAATCAAAATATAAAAATACAACACTGTAAAAAAAAACTCTGCCACAACAACAACAAAAAACGCACGTGTAAAAATATCAACTCTGTACACTGTTTTATTAAAACAAAACACCGTTAAATTTAAAAAAAAATTCCCTGTCCATAAAATTTAAACACTTTGCAATTGGAATCTAAAAACAAACAAAATATTGTATACATACACCCTACAAACAAACAAATCAATCAATGAAATTTTGTGCCACTGCACCTACCAACCACCCATATCCATCATATAAAAAACATTCCAAAACAGCTTTCGTTCGCACACCGGTGTGTCAATACAATGAGGATTGTCCACCGAACAAATTGTGTGATCGTTTAAATCGTCGCTGCATCAATCCCTGCCAAGAAGATTCATGTGGTGAAAATGCTGAATGTATTCCAAGCAATCATGGCATCGACTGTAGATGTTTGCCCGGATTTGTTGGTAATGCTTATGTGGAATGTACTGTTTTGCAAGGTTGCCGTTCCGATTCTGAGTGCGATTCTAGTCAGGCCTGTATCAATGGAAAATGTTCTTCGCCTTGTAGCTGTGGAGCTTATGCCTTGTGTGATGTTGTTAACCATCGCGGTATTTGCAAATGTCCTCCCGGTTACACTGGTAATCCAGCTATCGCCTGTAGTCCACCTACAAATCCCTGCGATCCCAATCCCTGCGGCCTTAATGCCTTGTGTGAATTGGACAATGGTAATCCAATTTGTTATTGTCCTAAGGGTCTTACAGGAAATCCATTTAAGAATTGCAGTAAGTATTCAGTTGGTTATAAAAATGTTCGCCTTTCACCATATTCTCCATAAACTTTTTTGTTTTTAGTTCCTGAAGGAGATGAGTGTACACCGAATCCCTGTGGTCCCAATTCTGGATGCCGCATGGTTTCTAACCAACCCATCTGCTTCTGTTTACCGGAATATGAAGGACAACCACCAAGCGTTCCTTGCAAATTGCCCTCAAATCCCTGTGAACCCTCACCCTGCGGCCCCAATACACAGTGTACTATGCTCAGCAATGGTTTCTCGAAATGTACCTGCTTACCAGGTTATGTCGAAAGTCCCAACACAATTAGAGGCTGTATTGAACCCATTAACCCTTGTGATCCTAATCCTTGCGGTGTGGGTGCAATTTGTGATTCAACACGCAATCCCGTTTGCTTCTGTCCAGACAACAAGGTCGGCAATCCATTCCGTTTGTGCGAAGAGCGTTCAGTTTCCATAGAACTGTGTAAACCTGGCCCTTGTGGTCGAAATGCCGATTGTTATGTCGCTGGAAATCGCGAAGAATGTTATTGTAAACCAGGTTATGCCGGAGATCCATACCAGGGCTGTCGCGAACCACCCAGATCTGCCTGTGAACCTAATCCATGCGGTCCCAATGCGGAATGTGTGATAGCCGGAGATGGTCAAAGTGCTTGTGTATGTCCTCATGGTTTATCGGGTGATCCTACATCGTTGTTGGGTTGTCACGGCTATGAATGTCAAGTTGATGACGATTGTCCCTTGGACAAGGCTTGTATGGGCTTTAAGTGTCACGATCCTTGTCCTGGAGCTTGTGGTCATGGAGCCAGCTGTCGTGTCCAACAACATCATCCCGTATGTTCTTGTAATCCAGGACTTACCGGAAACCCTGGAATTTTCTGTACCGCTATGGATGTTCCTAAGAAACCTAAAAATCCTTGTTTGCCCAGTCCTTGTGGTTTGAACAGTGAATGTAAGATTATGAATAACAGAGCTGTATGCTCATGCTTGCCAGATTATTTGGGAGATCCTCAATCTGGCTGCAGACCTGAGTGTGACATAAATTCAGATTGTGGCTCCAATCAAGCTTGTGTCAACCACAAATGTGTCGATCCATGTGCTGGTACTATTTGCGGTATTAATGCTTTGTGCTCTGTACAACAACATACTCCAGTGTGTCGCTGTTTGGATGGATTTACAGGTGATGCTTTCCGCCAGTGTATTGCCATTGGTGTCTTACGTAACGTCTCTAGAGATCCTTGCGTTCCCTCACCTTGTGGCCCATCTGATGTCTGTTCAGTTTATGCTGACGGTGTGGCTTTATGTGATCCATGCTTTGGTACCGATTCTCAGTATAACCCACGTTGCAGACCTGAGTGTGTTTCGAATTCAGATTGTCCATTTGATAAAGCCTGTTTAGGATCAAAATGTTTAGATCCTTGTCCCGGATCTTGCGGTCATAAGGCTTCGTGTCATGTCTACGAACACAATCCTATTTGTCAATGTCCTCCTGGTTTATACGGCAATCCCTACGAACAATGTGTAGTTCTTTTAGCAGATAAACCAGCGCCTTCACCAAGCTGTGCTAAATTACAATGTGGAGCAAATGCTGAATGTAAAAAACAAAATGGACTATTGACTTGTGTTTGTCGACGTGGCTACTTTGGCAATCCATTCGTAGCCTGTAGACCAGAATGTGTTTTGAACTCAGATTGTCCTGCAGACCGAGCTTGTGTTAACTCCAAATGTGTCGATGTTTGCTCAGGAGTTTGCGGCATCAATGCTTTGTGTAAAGTGGTTAATCACGGTCCTGTCTGTGTTTGCCCCGAAGGATTTACTGGCGATGCATTCAAATCGTGCTCTAGACAACAACATCCACCACCCAATCAATACTTGCCCGTGCCCAGAAATCCCTGTGAACCTTCACCATGCGGCCCCAATTCGAGATGTCTAATTTCAGATGAAGGCTATGCCGTCTGTTCTTGTTTGCCTGGCTACAAGGGTTCACCATCAGTTTGTCAACCCGAATGTATAGTAAGCTCTGAATGTCCTCTGCAACAAGCTTGTATCAATCAACGCTGTGCTGATCCTTGCCCTGGTACCTGTGGCGCATCAGCCAGATGTAAGGTATTAAATCATAATCCAATTTGCTCTTGTGATGCCGGTTATGAAGGAGATCCATTCGTATCATGTGTACCAGTACAAGAATCGCCTAAAGAGGTAGAAAGCAGGCCAGGAAATCCATGTTTGCCATCGCCCTGTGGACCCAATTCAATATGCCAAGTTAAGCAAGGTAGACCAGTTTGCTCTTGTGTAGCTAACTACATAGGAAGTCCACCATACTGCAGACCAGAATGTACTTTGAACAGCGAATGTCCTTCGGATAAGGCTTGTATTAACGAAAAGTGTGAAAATCCATGCGCAAATACTTGCGGTCATAATGCCAAATGTAATGTCATTGCTCATGCCGCGTATTGCAGTTGTGATGATGGTTATGAGGGAGATGCCTTCGTTGGTTGTTCCAAAGTTGTACAAAGTAAGTAATTAATATAAAAAATATATATAACTTTTAGTAAATTATTTTTGATGTCTTTTTTAGAACCTCAAGATCATGTAGATCCTTGTTATGCCAATCCATGTGCCGAAAATGCTGTATGCACAGAGCGCAATGGTATTGCAAGATGCACTTGCATTGAACCCTACATAGGCGATCCCTACTCCACCGGCTGTAGACCTGAATGTGTCTACAATGGTGAATGTCCCGCTCAATTGGCTTGTATTAAGCAACATTGCCGTGATCCTTGTGTAGGAACTTGCGGCAACAATGCTGAATGTTCTGTTGTTAATCATGTACCAGTCTGTAGTTGCGCCCAAGGCTTCGTTGGTGATCCATTTACTGGCTGCAAGAAGGATATTCGTAAGTTGCTTATTATTTTATAAAGATTTAAGAATCGTCCTCATAGATTTTGTAACTCTTTGCAGAAATTAAACCGGTTAGTCCTTGTGAACCTAATGTTTGTGGACCCTATAGCATTTGTCGTGTGGTTGATGGTCGTCCCACATGTTCATGTCAAGTCAATTACTTTGGAGCTCCTCCCAACTGTCGTCCAGAATGTGTTGTTAGCTCTGAATGTAGCCAACATTTGGCATGTATCAATCAGAAATGCGCTGATCCTTGTGCCAATACCTGCGGTTTTAATGCTAAATGTCAAGTTGTCAATCACAATCCAATCTGTTCTTGTCCAGCCGACATGACTGGAGATCCTTTCGAACAATGTGTACCTAAACGTAAGTACTTCAAAAATTGCATCTATTTTCATCTCCTTTTTTTATTGAAAAAAAAAAAATGTTTTCCTAATATAGCCACTGGACCTAGTCGTGATGTAAATGCTTGCATACCAAGCCCCTGTGGGCCTAACTCTGAATGCCGTGAAGTTGAAAATAGAGCGGCTTGCTCTTGTCTTCCTGGCATGTTTGGTGCTCCACCCAATTGCCGTCCAGAATGTGTTATACATCAAGACTGTCCCTCTAATAGAGCATGCATTGCTCAACGTTGTGAAGATCCTTGTGTGGGAGCTTGTGGTTTCAATGCACTCTGTACATCACAGAATCATAGACCCATATGCTCTTGTATTGAAGGACACGAAGGTGATCCTTATGCCGGCTGTAGTATGCGTGCAAGTAAGTACAAATTTTTACTTTTGCTATCCCTCTTTAAAATATATAATATTTCCGACAGTTTTCCCCATAAAGGGAAAATGTTTTGTAAATGTTATTATGTTAAAATGTATAATCTTTTTACAGTTTTGTTTTATTTTAAGTGTAAACTGGGTAATGGGGTATTTGTTTGTGAAACAAAACTCTTGAAAATTTTATATATGCATGTTATTTGTAAATTTATTCCTTATGTAGTTAATGTCTTTCTATGTTTGATATGTATATTTGCATTTATTTATGTATATTTACTTAGCTTATATTTATGTATTTGTATTGGTTTACTATATATTTCCTATACTATTTTTATGGTTGTGTTCATCATCTAGTTGTGGTACCAGATTTGCCTAGCGATCCTTGCTATCCCTCACCATGCGGTTCGAATGCTGTGTGTAAAGAACGCAATGGTGCTGGTGCTTGCTCATGCTTGCCAAACTATTTCGGCGATCCTTACGTTAACTGTAGACCCGAATGTGTACAAAACTCTGATTGTCCGCGTACAAAGTCGTGTATGAATATGAAATGTGTCGATCCGTGTGAGAATTTGTGTGGTTTTAATGCTGTTTGTAGAGTGACAAATCACCTACCGGTTTGCTCTTGTCAATCGGGTTTCACTGGAAACCCAATGCGAATTTGTCATGAGAAACCATCAAACATGTATTTACCAATACCCAAAGATCCGTGTCGACCATCACCATGTGGTCTATTTAGTACCTGTCGTGTTCAAGGAAATCGTCCAGTTTGTTCTTGTTTGCCCGACTATATGGGTCAGCCGCCTAATTGTAAACCAGAATGTATTATAAGCTCTGAATGTAGTTCGGACAAGGCTTGTATTAATCAACGCTGTCAAGATCCTTGTCCGGGTACATGTGGTCATAATGCCAGATGTAGGGTAACAAATCATTCACCCATATGTACTTGTGCCCAGGGCTTTACAGGAGATCCTTTCCAACAATGTTTGCCCGAAAGAAGTAGGTTTTTGTTTTTTTTTTTTTTTTTGTCGCTAAACATAGATTTAATTTAATTATTTTTAAAATGTAGAAGAACCAGATTTACCAAATGATCCCATACCGAAAAACCCTTGCATACCTTCACCTTGTGGACCTAACTCTCAGTGCAGAGTGTCCGCTACTGGTGCAGTTTGCTCTTGTTTACGCAACTATATTGGACGACCACCAAACTGTCGTCCTGAATGTTCAATCAATTCTGAGTGTTCGTCACAAATGGCTTGTGTAAATAATCGCTGTGTAGATCCTTGCATCGGTTCATGTGGCAATAACGCCTTGTGTCATGTTAGTAATCATGCTCCAGTATGCATGTGTCAACCTGGTTTTACGGGAGATCCCTTCTCGGGCTGTTATCTTTTAATAGAAAGTAGGTTATGAGTTTTGTTATCGTCTTTAGGGCCATAAAGAAATTGCTAACTGAATATGTTGTGTTTATTCCGCCATAGTTCCCGACGAGCCTATACAACCCTGCTCTCCCAGTCCTTGTGGTTTGAATGCTTTGTGTGAAGAACGCAATAGTGCGGCTTCTTGCAAATGTATACCCGAGTACTTTGGCGATCCATACGTTGAATGTAGACCCGAGTGTGTTTTGAATTCGGATTGTCCGAGATCGAAAGCTTGTGTCAATAATAAGTGTGTGGATCCCTGTCCGGGTGTGTGTGGCAATAATGCCGAATGTTTTGTGTTGAATCACCAACCTAATTGCGATTGTATGCTGGGCTTTACGGGAAATCCTAATTTCGGTTGCCATCTTATACCAGAAATTCCCAAACGTAAGCATGATAGAAAAGAAATATTCCCAACTAACTCAAAAAACAGAAGAAGGGGTTTTATATAACACTAGCCGTCAATATTTTATTACTCCCATGCTAACCTCTAATCTAATTAATTTCCCTTAATTGAAATTGGATTATTAACCGAACCCCTAAAAACCCCTTCTTAATAATATATAAGAAAATACCCACTCAACTCCCAATTAATCACACACTCACACTCTGCTACTCACAAACGGTTTAAGCAAGTAATTAAAAAAACCTAATTCCAATGTAAAACTTTGTGTTTAGATGATATTGTACCCAGCAATCCTTGTGTACCATCGCCCTGCGGTCTGTATAGCAACTGCAGGGAACAAAATGGCCATGCCGTATGCTCTTGCATTCCCAATTATATAGGTGCTCCGCCCAACTGTAGACCTGAGTGTATGAGTAGTTCTGACTGCTCTCAAGATCGATCATGCATAAACGAACGTTGCAAAGATCCATGTCCCGGAACATGTGGCAATAATGCCCTTTGTCGTGTTGTCAATCACAATCCCATCTGTTCATGCATGCCTGGCTTTACTGGTGATCCATTCACACGCTGTATATATGAAGAAAGTAAGATCACAACTTCATCGTCTATCATTGTTCATTTCGTTCAGATGGTATTGCATCCACCATCTATTTCATCATGTCATTTATTTCGTCATTCATCCCAACAAAATATTTATTGTTCTTATTTTTATTTCTCTTTTTCTTCCTTTCTTTTCTTTGTAATATGCTTAAAATCATTTCCTGCATGCTTCTTATTATTATTCTTCTGATATTGTGTATGTAAATATATAAATATGTGTATGTGTATAAAGAACGACCAGTTGTCAGGGATCCCATCAATCCCTGTGTACCATCACCTTGTGGACCCAATTCTCAATGTCGTGTTTCATCCGCCAATGAGCAAGCAGTTTGCTCTTGCTTGCCCAATTATATAGGAAGATCGCCAAATTGCCGACCCGAGTGTACATCGAACTCGGAGTGTCGAGGCAATCTGGCTTGTATAAACCAGCGCTGTCAAGATCCTTGTCAGGGTTCTTGCGGTTCATTTACCACATGTATTGTAAATAATCATAAGCCAATATGTCGCTGTATTGAGGGTTATATGGGTGATCCATTTTCAGAATGTAGTCCACAAAGTAAGATTTAGTATATAAGTATAAACCTATTTCCTTTTTTGCTTCAAACGCTGAATTTATGTATCTATGTACGTATTGGTCGCAATGTAATTTTATAAAATTTCCTTGTTTAGTTATTGTACCACCCGAAAAGGCTGAACCTTGTAATCCTAGTCCCTGCGGTGCTAACGCCGTTTGCAAGGAAAGGAATGGCGTAGGTTCATGTACCTGTTTGCCCGAATACAATGGTGATCCCTATACTGAATGTCGACCAGAATGTGTTCTTAATACGGACTGTGCTAAGAACCGCGCTTGTATAAACAACAAATGTAGAGATCCTTGCCCAGGAGTTTGTGGCGTGGATGCCGAGTGTCATGTTATAAATCACTCGCCCAGTTGCAGTTGCCCCTCTGGCTATACCGGAAATCCTTCACAGTATTGTCGCAAAGAAATTAAACGTAATATAAAATCTTTTAATTGATTAGGGTGTTCATTGTTAGCTAAATGTTTCGCTTTTGTTGATTTAGAAATGGAAAATGTAAATCCTTGTCGCCCTTCACCTTGTGGTCCTTATAGTCAATGTCGCGAAGTAAATGGTCATGCGGTTTGTTCATGCATAACCAATTATATAGGCACACCTCCAACATGTCGACCAGAATGTTCGGTTAGTTCCGAATGTTCTCAGGATAGAGCATGTTTGAATTTGCGTTGTGTAGATCCATGTCCAGGAACTTGTGGCAATGAGGCTATTTGTAAGGTTACCAATCACAATCCCATCTGTTCGTGTCCACCAGGCTATTCTGGAGATCCATTCATAAGATGTATGAAAATTGAGGAAAGACGGGTAGATGACAAACCCTCAAATCCATGTTTACCTAGCCCATGTGGTCCAAATTCGCAATGTCGTGCTGTGGGTGAAACTCCTGTATGTTCTTGTTTACCGAACTTTGTAGGACGTGCTCCTAACTGTAGACCGGAATGTACTATTAATTCGGAATGTCCGTCTAACTTAGCATGCATTAACGAGAGATGCAAGGATCCTTGCCCAGGATCCTGTGGTTTTAATGCCTTCTGTAATGTAGTCAACCATTCCCCAGTTTGTACTTGTGAATCAGGCTTTTCTGGAGATCCATTCGCCGGTTGTAATCCAACACGTAAGAAATCTGTTAGGGTTTGGTTTTCATTAGGTTTTCCTAATAAGCTTTTTATTTTTTTCAAAATTACATCAGCGGTTCCTGAAGAACGTCTTACGCCTTGCAATCCTACACCTTGTGGCACAAATGCCGAATGTAAAGAACGTAATGGTGCTGGTTCTTGTACATGCCTCGAAGGTTACTTTGGAGATCCTTACAGCGGTTGTCGTCCCGAATGTGTAGTTAATTCTGACTGTCCTCGTGATAAATCGTGCGTTAATCAGAAATGTGCAGATCCCTGTCCCGGTGTCTGTGGTATTAACGCAGAATGTCGCGTGGGTAACCATGTACCAACCTGTCATTGTTTGCCTGGCTATACTGGTAATGCCCTCAGCTCTTGTCGCATTATACCGGAACCAGAACTACCACCACGTATGTTTTGTTCGCTCGTGTTTAAAGTCTTTGTTAATAGGTTCACTAACATTTCCTATATTTTTCCCCCAGTTGCCAAAGATGTTAATCCTTGTCAACCCTCGCCTTGTGGTCCCTATAGTCAGTGTCGCGAAGTAAATGGCCATGCTGTTTGCTCTTGCCAGACCAACTTCATAGGTTCAGCTCCTAACTGTCGTCCAGAATGTATAGTCAGTTCCGATTGTGCTCAAGATATGGCATGTCAAAATCAAAAATGTGTAGATCCTTGTCCTGGCACTTGTGGTTTAGAAGCACGTTGTCAAGTTATCAATCACTACGCAGCATGTTCCTGCCCCCCTGGTTATACAGGAGACCCTTTCAATAGATGTTCTAGAATTAAATGTAAGCATGTTTCTCTCTTAATTCTTCCTAACGAAGAGAATTGGAAAACGAAAGAAGCGTGTAAGAGAAAAACTTTGATGTTCGAAAGAAACTATATACTTTACTTTCCTTTTGTAAACACTTTCCTTTTTCAATTCTCTCCTATGGTTGAGGATGGAAAGTTCTACGAAAAGACTTCCATCCTTAGTCCATCTATTTGCATGTTTTTTATATGTATATACAATTAATGTTATTCTATTTTTATGTATCCTCTTTTTATTTTATTATATTGAATGTGTTTGATGTGTGTATCCTATCCAACTTTAATATTTCTACACCTACACTATCATCCAAATGTAAACATAATTTGTTGTTAAATGTAACCTGTAACCTATCCAACTCTACACTTCTACTACTCTACCAACTCTATGTAAACTCTATAACTCTATGTATGACTGTAAATGTAGTGGATAAACCTCCTGTATCAAAAACTGGTAACCCCTGTGTACCTTCTCCATGTGGACCCAACTCGAAATGCATCGATGTTGGTGATTCACCTGCATGCTCCTGTTTACCAAACTATCTGGGACGACCACCTAATTGTCGTCCCGAGTGCATGAGTAGCTCTGACTGTCCTGCCAATTTGGCCTGCATGAATCAAAAATGTTCGAATCCATGTGTGGGTACTTGTGGTGTACATACTTTGTGTACAGTTATTAAGCATAATCCCACATGTCAATGCGAACCTGGCTACACCGGAGATCCTTTCTCTGGCTGTAGTGCTGTACAACTAAGTATATATCTTTCCTTTTTCTATTCAGCAGAAGTAAAGGATTTTTATTTGACTAACTTAAAAAGCACTTTTCTAAATATCAAATAGAAATTCAAAATCCTTTACTTCTTTCAATTTATATTGTTCTCTGCTCCCTTCTATGGTATTAATTTGAAATTTATAAAATTTTCAGTAACTACTACGGAACGACCACGCGATCCATGCAATCCTAGTCCATGTGGCGCCAACGCTGTTTGTCGTGAACGCAATGGAGCCGGATCATGTGCTTGTTTGCCTGAATACTTCGGCGATCCTTACAGCGGTTGTAGACCAGAATGTGTTCAAAATTCGGATTGTGATCGCTCGAAGGCTTGTCTGAACAACAAATGTATTGATCCTTGTCCAGGCGTTTGTGGAATTAATGCTGAGTGTCGTGTCCTAAATCATGCACCCAACTGTCAATGTTTCGAAGGTTATACCGGAGATCCACACCGTTCTTGTGCAGTTATTGAAATGATTACAATGGCTCCTTTGAATCCATGCCAACCATCACCTTGTGGACCTTACAGTCAGTGCCGCGAATCGAACGGTCACGCAGTATGCTCATGCTTGGATAACTACATTGGAGCTCCACCAACGTGCCGTCCTGAATGTGTTGTCAGCTCAGAATGTCCTCAAAATCGAGCTTGTATTCAACAGAAGTGCGCTGATCCATGTGCTGGAGCTTGTGGTTCACAGGCTAGATGCCAGGTTGTTAACCACAACCCTATTTGCACATGTCCAGCTGGTATGACTGGTGATCCATTTGTTGAATGTATTACTGCAAAGGAACAACCAAGAGACCCTGAGAATCCCTGCGTACCGTCACCTTGTGGACCCAACTCATTGTGTCGGGAAATCGGAGGACAAGCTGCCTGCTCATGTCAAACTAACTATGTGGGTAGACCTCCTAATTGCAGACCAGAATGTACAAACCACGATGAATGTCCAAACCATCTATCATGTCAAAATGAAAAATGTGTCGATCCTTGCCCAGGCTCTTGTGGATCAAATGCATTATGTAAGGTTGTACAACACAATGCTGTTTGTTCTTGTAATGATGGCTACGAAGGAGATCCAATATCCGGTTGTCAACTTATTCCACCGGTATTGCCAAAACAACCACATTCTTCACCATGTGAGCCATCACCTTGCGGTCCACAGGCCGAGTGCCGTGAACGCAATGGAGCCGGTGCCTGCTACTGTCACGAAGGCTACGAAGGTAATCCTTACGATGTTGAACGCGGTTGTCGCCGTGAATGTGAAGCCCATGATGACTGTTCACCTGCTCAAGCCTGCGTACGTTTCAAATGTGTAGACCCTTGTGATAATATATGCGGAGAATTCGCCATTTGTACGGTTGACAATCATGTACCAACTTGCACCTGCCCTGCCGGCTATTCGGGAGATCCATTCTTCCAATGCAAACAAATTCCAGTAACACCAAGACCAATTGTCAATCCGTGTGTACCATCTCCATGTGGTCCAAACAGTATTTGCCGCAATATCAATGATCAAGCAGTGTGTTCATGTCAGTCAGGATTCATCAATCAACCTCCCAACTGTAGACCTGAATGTGTGGTTAGTTCTGAGTGTGCCACCGAAAAGGCTTGTGTGAACAACAAATGTGTAGATCCTTGTCAACATACATGTGGACAACTGGCTATTTGTACTGTCAAGAATCACAGCCCTATCTGTACATGTCCAAGAGGAATGACTGGAGATCCATTTGTCAAGTGTTCAAGAATACGTAAGTTTTAACAATACCAATTAATTGGAAAAGACTAAAATATGCAAATTTTTTTTGTAATTTCTTTTTACAGCCATTGTTGTGGATGATAAACCAAGTACCGAAAAACCTCCATCATGTGTTCCATCACCATGTGGCCCGAACTCTAAATGCCAAATCATCGGTGGTAGCCCTGCATGCTCTTGCTTACAAGACTTCACTGGTGCTCCTCCAAACTGCCGACCTGAATGTGTCCTTAACTCAGAATGTGGTCCCACCGAAGCCTGCATCAATCAGAAATGTCGCGATCCTTGTCCAGGATCTTGCGGTTTTGAAGCTAAATGTCATGTACTCAACCATGTTCCTATATGTAATTGCTTGGATGGTTATACTGGTGATCCATTTGTACGCTGCAGTCCTGTGCCCGTTACAGAAACACCAAAGATTCCAAATGATCCATGTGATCCAAATCCTTGTGGACCAAATGCAGATTGCTTCAATGGTGAATGCAGATGCCAAGATAATTATCAAGGCAATCCCTACGAAAGTTGTCGTCCAGAATGTTCTCTGTCTGCTGACTGTCCACGTGATAAGGCCTGCTTGCGCAACAAGTGTGTCGATCCTTGCCCTGGAACTTGCGGTGTCAATGCAGTTTGTGAAGTATTAAACCATATTCCCGTGTGCTCTTGTGTCAAGGGTTATGAAGGAGATCCATTTACGAACTGTCGCTTGAAGATAGAGGAACCAGAAAAACCAGCCGAACCTTGCTCACCATCTCCTTGTGGTGCCAACAGCCAATGCCGCGACATTAATGGTCATGCCGTTTGCTCTTGCTTAGATGGTTTCATTGGATCCCCACCACAATGTCGTCCAGAATGTGTGGTATCTAGTGAGTGCTCCGCTTTACAGGCTTGCGTCAATAAGAAATGTGTTGATCCCTGCGCCGGCTCTTGTGGTATAGATGCCCGTTGTGAAGTTATCAATCACAGTCCTATTTGTGGTTGTCCACCTGGCAAGACGGGAGATCCTTTCAAGAGTTGTTTCGATATACCTATTGAAGCCCCAAGAGATCCAGAGATACCCAGGGATCCATGCGTACCTTCACCATGCGGACCTAACTCCATCTGTAAGGCTGGTCCCAGCGGTCCTTCCTGTCAATGTATGCCCGAATTCTTCGGATCACCACCTAACTGTAGACCTGAATGTATCATCAATCCAGATTGTCCTTCAACACAAGCTTGCATTAACAATAAATGTCGCGATCCTTGTCCTGGTTCTTGTGGCACTAATGCCGAATGTCGCGTTATTAGCCACTCCGTATCATGTTCATGTCCAGTCGGATATGCTGGCAATGCTTTTGTTCAATGTATTCCACAAGAAGAAGAACCAGTTAAGCCTTGCGAACCATCACCATGTGGACCAAATGCAGAATGTATTGAACGTAATGGTGCTGCTTCTTGCAAATGCATTGATGAATACCAAGGCAATCCTTATGAGGGCTGTCGACCAGAGTGCGTTCTTAGTTCTGATTGTCCAACGGATAAGGCTTGTATACGCAACAAATGTAAAGACCCTTGTCCTGGCATCTGCGGTTCAAATGCTCAATGTTATGCTGTCAACCATGTTCCTAACTGTGTATGCAATGAAGGCTATACCGGCGATCCATTCTCCAACTGCCGACCACAACCAAAGTTACCACCACCGACACCTGGCAACCCTTGCCAGCCTTCACCATGTGGTCCCAACAGTAAATGCCGTGAATCAAATGGTTTGGCTGTATGTTCATGTCTGGATTCCTTTATTGGTTCACCACCAAATTGTAAACCTGAGTGCACAGTTAATGCCGAATGTCCACAAAATAAGGCCTGTCATAAATTCAAGTGTGCCAATCCCTGTGCTGGCACTTGCGGTATCGATGCTAAGTGCGAAGTAATCAACCACAATCCAATTTGCAGTTGTGCATTGGAAATGACTGGTGATCCATTCACTAGGTGTTATCCAGCACCCATACGCCCTAAAGATGAACCAACTAAACCCAAAAATCCTTGCATACCTTCTCCTTGTGGCTTATATTCGGAATGTCGTGTCAGTGGAGATCAACCATCATGTTCTTGTTTACCAAATTACATAGGAGCTCCACCTAATTGCCGACCAGAGTGTGTGGTTAACACAGATTGCCCCTCTGATTTAGCATGTATTGCCGAAAAATGCCGCAACCCTTGTGATGGTACTTGTGGTATTAATTCCGAGTGTCGCATACAAAATCATTTGGCTATCTGTACTTGCCGCTCTGGCTTCACCGGAGATCCATTCAGCCAGTGCATTGAAATTATTGAAGAAAAGACTCAGACTCCAGTGGAAATGGATCCATGCGCTTTACAACCTTGCGGAGCCAATGCTGAATGTCAACCAGGCGGTGTCTGTGTGTGCTTAAGAGACTACCTAGGAGATCCCTATGTTGGTTGTAGACCAGAATGTACTTTGAGTACTGACTGCTCACCAAACAAGGCTTGTTTGAATAAGAAATGTGTTGATCCCTGTCCAGGAACTTGTGGACAAAATGCCCAGTGTGATGTTACCAATCATATACCTGTATGTACTTGTCCTAAGGGCTATACCGGCGATCCATTCATCAATTGTCGCCAAGTGGTGCGCAATGATTTGGTACCAACAGATCCCTGTCAACCAAATCCATGTGGACCCAACAGTATCTGTCAAGTTTCGGGTCAAGGTCCCAGATGTGCCTGCAAGCCCGGTATGTTGGGCTCACCACCAGCATGTAAACCAGAATGTATCGTTAGTTCGGAATGTTCTCTACAAACAGCATGCATCAATCGCAAATGTGTGGATCCTTGTCCGGGAGCCTGTGGTCAATTTGCCAAATGCCAAGTTATCAACCACAATCCAATTTGTACTTGCAATAATGGCTACACGGGAGATCCATTTACACGCTGCTATGAAGAACCAAAGGCTATCGAACCTATAAGGCCCGTTAACCCATGTGTACCATCGCCATGTGGTCCCAACTCCGAATGTAAGGTTGTGGGCGATAGTCCAGCCTGTTCCTGTGCTGCTACATTCTTGGGTACTCCACCAAATTGTAGACCCGAATGTACCATCAATCCAGAATGTCCATCAACTAAAGCTTGTATCCGTCAAAAATGTGAAGATCCCTGTGTGGGTTCATGCGGCTTCAATGCCCGCTGCTCTGTTGCCAACCATATGCCCATCTGTAGTTGTGAAGTTGGTTATATTGGCGATCCATTTACTAGCTGTCAACCAATACCAGGTAGGATTTTTATAATTTTCCTTATACTGTTAGGTTTCAGGCATAACCAAAAATTATTAATGGTGATGGAAGTTGATGAAATTAGTTGAAAAAGCTATTACTTACTTTCTAGCTAATATGCTTCATTGGATTTAAAAAATGGTTATGCCTTGAAAGAATAAATATAAAAGGAGTAAAACTATGTTACGGTTTCAACTAGATTTTAAAGTTTGTATACTTAACAGTGAGTACATTTTGATTTAAGACATAGAGGACATTTTAAAAGATGGCCACTTTTAATATGTCTGTTGAATTTTAGTAATTCGGTTAAGGGTCTCAACTTTGAAACCAAATTATTGAAATGTAAATGTCTTAAATTTTAAAATTGAAAACTTTAAGGAATATTACTTTCAAAAGAATATTGAAAATTAAATTTTTTTTAAGTTTCAGTTTTACTTCTTTTACATTCAAGCACAGATTAGAACTAAGATTTTCACCGTGTTTTACGTGTCTAAATTTATTTTTAAAGGCAATTTTTTTTAATATAAAATTGCAAAAAATGTCATTACACTTAAAGAAACTACACTGTTCATTTAAATACCTTATGAAAATGTCATAAGCTTTATAAGCCTAGGGAGTTCTCTTCAGAAAAAAGTATTTTTTACTTAAAAAAAATAATAATTGTAACTAATATGTTACCCCTAAGAGATTTATTTTAAACTAAGAATACTAGTAAAGAATGACTCAAACTTTTGGATTATTGTCTTTCAAGGCATGAGTTTTGAATAGATTAGGACTATCTTAATCTGAAGAAAGGCTTACAAATTTGCACATTTATAAAAAATCGTCTAGCACTTTTTGATTTAATTAAGATTTACAACGAGAATCTAATATTCTCACAATTAAAGAGAACTCCTTTTCATATTCTTTTGCAAAAAATGTTTTAAATGTCAGCACTTTATATGTTTAAATGTGAAAAACACTGCAAATGGCACTTAAATCTTAAAAACGCGTTTTAAATTATTAAATTAATAAAATAAATAAAAAAAATCTAGTTCTAATTTGTTGAATTTTTTTGTTAGCCTAATAGAACGAAAAAAGTAATTTTATCACCATAAAATACAACTGCATTGCAAAGAATTAATAATAAAATTAAAATGAATTTTTAGCTTTAAATTCTTAAGCGAAATGCGGATTTCAATAATTACTTTAATTCTGTACGAATTGTCTGAATTTCAAAGTATATTGAAAGTGTTTTAGGGTTTTGCTGTCTTATATGGCAAACGATAAAAGTACTTTTTTTCAAATAAGTATTTATTTTTAAAGTATCTTAAATAATAATGCCTTTTTAATTATATATGTATATCAAAATATAACGCAAAAATTATTAGTCAAAAATGCCTACTATCTGCCTTTTAAAACGTAATGCCTTTTTAATTACTTAATGCTATAAAATTCTTTTGAAAATGCTTATCTTTTTACCCCTAATTATACAATTGAATAAACCCAAAATATATTTACACAATATCTTACCCATAAATACATACATACTTAATAGTAGTTTGTTTGTGAGAAAATGTATTTGAACAATGACCCTTATTAACCCTGTTTTGAATACACTACGCTTTCGTTAATTGGCCCCAACTGCGTTTATTTACTACTTTTACTTGATTTGACCCTATAAAAAACAACAAATAATACTTAACCCATTATGAAAACGACACAAAGCCTTTACGCCAAATTAATATTTAAAACCACAACAAAAACACTGCGCTTCTTTTTTTATCGTTTGTATTCTGAAAAACAATCAACGTTGGTACTTTTATTGCTCTTTTTGGACCCTGATTTAAAAACACACCAAAAAAATAATGCTTTATTAATTTGTTTTACCAAATTTAGTAGTTTATAATTTTATAATAATAATAATAATAATTTAGGATGTAAGAAGAAACCTGTAACCAAAAAAAAAAAACTAAAAATAAACTAAATAAAATTAATTTATAACAATAATAATACCAGAGTTTTTACTTAAGTTTAATTTATATGAAATTAAAACAAAATGAAAATTTAAAACGCGTAACACTTATTAAACACAGCTCTTTTAACACCGCTAAACACAGCTCAAATATACACTGAAACAAAAATCAACTTGTGCACTTTTACAATAATAATTAATGTTTTATTTTTTATTTAAAAAAAAAAGCAATTAATGCCCATTAAAAACCAGTAGTGTTGAAATAAAAAGTAGTGCAAAATTTTCTAATACCAATATAACAGCAATAAAATTTAAACAAAATTATATATTTAAAATAAACAACTGCAAAACCAAAATATTAAAGCTTCACTGACCAATCAATAAAAATAAAAAAAACTTGTGGAAATTACTCACCCAAATGCAAATCACCAATTAAAAAAATCCAACACCTGAGTATGTAGTACTAATCAGTTTTAATGGTTAAAAGAATTCTAAGAAAATTAATTAAAATAATTTTCTCTTGTTCTGCTCTTCTCTTCCCATTTAATTGTGCAACAAACGTAGAACGTATTGTCAATGAACATATAACACCATGTGAACCAAATCCTTGCGGTTCAAATGCCATATGTAGAGAACAGAATGGCATTGGTTCCTGTCAATGTCTGCCGGAATACTATGGAGATCCATATCAATCGTGTCGACCAGAATGTATTCGTAATTCTGATTGCCCAACAACTAAAGCATGTACACAAAATAAATGTACAGATCCTTGCCCTGGTACATGTGCTTCGAATGCCGTCTGCTCGGTAACCAATCATATACCCACCTGCTCTTGTCTAGCCGGTTATATAGGTGATCCTTATAGATATTGTCAAAGAGAGCCAGAGAAACGTAAGAAATATTAACTGTAAAGTTTGGCCTTTAGAAATATTGATTTATACTTTTAACCTTTAGCCGTCCGTTTGCAAGAACCGACAAATCCTTGTGTTCCATCACCCTGCGGTCCTAACTCTCAGTGCCGTGAATTAAATGGTCAGGCTATATGTTCTTGTTTGGAGAATTATATAGGTTTTCCTCCTTCCTGTAGGCCAGAGTGTGTTTTGAGCACTGAATGTTCTGCTGACAAGGCTTGTATTAATCAAAAATGCCAGGATCCTTGTCCTGGCACCTGTGGTCTTAATGCTGAGTGTAGAGTTCGCAACCATAGTCCGATTTGCCAATGTAGACCTAGATTTACTGGCGATGCTTTTACCAGATGTTATCCCATACCACGTAATTATAAATATTTTCAGTTGTTAGTGAAATTCGACTATTATCGTCATTCTCTTAAATTTAGCACCTGCTCCTGTTATTAAACAATTTGCAAGAGATCCTTGTGTTCCTTCGCCTTGTGGACCCAACTCGTTGTGTCGTAATGTAAATGGTGTACCATCATGTACTTGTTTGGAAACATATATAGGAGCTCCTCCCAACTGTAGGCCAGAGTGCTCGATAAGTTCAGAATGTGCTTTAGATAAAGCTTGCATTCGTGAAAAATGTATGGATCCATGCCCAGGTTCATGCGGCTTTTCAGCAGTCTGCAGTGTTATTAATCATACACCCATATGTACTTGCCCCGAAGGTTATACCGGTGATCCTTTCAGTTCATGTAGACCAGCACCACCGGCTGAGGTCTATAGTAAGTCATTTGCTAAAAACATTTAAAAGTTAGGATTTACTTAAAAAGTATATATATTATTATTAGATGAACCCTCTGATCCATGTCGTCCTTCACCATGTGGTGCAAATGCTTTATGCAATAATGGTGTTTGTTCTTGTCTGCCCGAATACCATGGAGATCCATATTCAGGTTGTCGTCCAGAATGTGTTTTAAACTCGGATTGTCCCCGCGATAAAGCCTGCTCTCGCAGTAAATGTATTAACCCTTGTCCTGGTACATGTGGTGATAATGCCATTTGTGATGTTATCAATCATATACCAATGTGCAGATGTCCCGAAGGTACTCAAGGAAGTGCTTTCATCAGATGCTCTCCTCAACAAAGTAAGCCAGATTTAGCCATTTGATCTAGTGTAGAGTAAACATAGTATTTTCTTGTAGAATTGGATACGCCTACGAATCCCTGCCAACCCTCACCTTGTGGACCCAATTCTCAATGCCGTGAAATTAATCAACAGCCCGTTTGTTCTTGTCTTCAAGGATTTATAGGTTATCCGCCTACTTGTCGACCAGAATGTACCTCTAACTCAGAATGTTCGCCCACACAGGCTTGTCTAAATCAAAAATGCCAGAATCCTTGTCCTGGCACCTGCGGAGTTAGTGCATTGTGTTCGGTAGTAAATCATAGTCCTTTCTGCACCTGTCCGAATGATTTTACGGGAAATCCGTTTGTTAGATGCCAGCGTATAAGTAAGTTAGCGAGTTGTAAAATTTTAGTTTCCGATTTAATTTTGAATTTTCGCATTCTCAGTTAAACCTGTAAGCGATGTGGTACCTCAAGATCCGTGTCACCCATCTCCGTGTGGACCATTTTCTCGTTGCAAACCCATAGGACAATCTCCTTCATGTTCTTGCCTTGAATCTTATATAGGAAGACCTCCAAACTGTCGTCCCGAATGTGTAACCAGTTCCGATTGCGCCAGCAATTTGGCTTGTGTTAATCAGAAATGTGTAGATCCATGTCCCGGAAGATGTGGATTAAATGCCGAATGCCGTGTAGTTAGTCATGCTGTACAATGTGTTTGCGTTGTCGGCTACACCGGAGATCCATTCGTACAATGCAATCCTCCTATTGAAAGAGATGTCGTAGAGGTTCTAACGCCTTGTAATCCTTCACCTTGCGGTCCAAATGCTATATGTAGAGAACGTAGTGGTGTCGGATCCTGTCAATGTTTGCCGGATTATCATGGCAACCCTTACGAGGGCTGCCGACCAGAATGTGTACTTAACTCGGATTGTCCTTCAAACAAAGCTTGTCAACTACAAAAATGTCAAGACCCCTGTCCAGGAACTTGTGGACAAAATGCCGAATGTCAGGTGGTAAATCATTTGCCTACTTGTAATTGTTTTGCCGGTTATACAGGCGATCCGTATCGCATTTGCACCCAGCCAGTAGAACGTAAGCAAATACTAAAAGTAACATTTCGCAAATACTCAATTCATTATTTATCTCTAGCAATACGGATGGAATATATTAATCCATGTCAGCCTTCTCCTTGTGGTCCCAATAGTCAGTGTCGTGAAGTCAATGAACAAGCTGTTTGTTCTTGCTTGCCAGAATTTATAGGCCAACCTCCTAGCTGCAGGCCAGAATGCACCATATCATCAGAATGTTCTGCTGATAAGGCTTGCATAAATCAGAAATGTATAAATCCATGTGATAGCTCTCCTTGTGGTCAAAATGCTGAGTGTAGGGTTCGCAATCATAGTCCTTTGTGTTCTTGTAATCGCGGTTACACTGGAGATGCTTTCACTAGATGTTACCCCATACCACGTAAGCTGGAAAAGATAATAGAAATAGGTTAGTTTTATTAATTTGTTTGTGTTATGTAGCTCCTCCGCCGGAAGTTCAACTAGAGGAAATCAGAGATCCATGTGTTCCTTCACCATGTGGTCCTAACTCGGAATGTCGCAATTCAAATGGTGTACCGTCGTGTTCTTGTTTAGCAACATATATTGGACAACCTCCAAATTGTAGACCAGAATGTACAATAAACTCAGAATGTCCTAGTCAACAGGCATGTATTAATCAAAAATGTAGAGACCCATGTCCCGGAGCATGTGGTATTAATTCCATTTGCCGTGTTATAAACCACACTCCTTCATGTGCTTGCATCGAAGGCTATGTGGGCAATCCCTTCACTAGTTGTTCGCCAAAACCACCAGAACGTAAGATATAAATTTTTTTTAATATTAGCAATCTGTTAGTTATAATAACTTCTCGAACAGCTACTACTTCACCACCTTTGGATGATCCTTGCTCTCCCTCGCCTTGTGGCCCCAATGCCATATGCAATAACGGCCAATGTACCTGCATATCAGAGTATCAAGGAGACCCTTATGTAGAATGCAGACCAGAATGTGTTCTTAACTCTGAATGTCCTCGCGATAGAGCTTGTATACGTAATAAATGTGTGGACCCATGTCCAGGAACTTGTGCGGCAAATGCCATATGTGAGGTTCACAATCATGTTCCTATGTGCCATTGTCCCGAAAAAATGACGGGAAATGCCTTCTTCGAATGTCGTGCCATATTAAGTAATAAAATTTTAATTTTTCGCGGTGAATTCGCCATTAAACATTTCTTTGTTGTTGTATTTCAATTTAGCCCCTGTGCCAACAAATCCTTGTCAGCCTTCGCCCTGTGGTCCTAACAGCCAATGTCGTGTAGTCCAAGGTACCGCTGTCTGCTCTTGTCTTTCTGATTTTATAGGTAGTCCGCCGCAGTGTAGACCAGAATGTACAACAAACTCCGATTGTCCACCAGATCAGGCTTGTCAAAATATGAAATGTAGAGATCCTTGCCCGGGAACTTGTGGCTTTAATGCTGAATGCAATGTTGTTAACCACACACCATACTGTAGGTGTCGTAGTCGCATGACTGGCGACCCATTTGTAAGATGTCATGAAATTGTAGAGCCCATAAGAGATGAGAAAGTTCCTATAAACCCTTGCCAACCATCACCATGTGGTCCTAACTCGGAATGTCGTGTTAATGGAGATTCTCCTTCATGTTCATGTTTGCCCGATTTTATTGGTTCGCCTCCACAATGTCGACCAGAATGCATTTCCAATTCGGAATGTCCTACGAATCAAGCGTGTATAAATCAGAAATGTAAAGATCCATGTCCTGGATTGTGTGGTCAGAACGCGCTTTGTCGGGTATTCTCACATACACCCATGTGCTTGTGTAACGAAGGCTATACTGGAGATCCATTCTCTGTTTGCAACCCTGTGCAGCTGACACCAGTAGAAGAAGTGAGACCTTGTATCCCTAATCCCTGTGGTGTTAACGCGAAATGTATCGAACGTGGAGAAGCTGGTTCTTGTCAGTGTTTGCCAGAATATTTCGGTAATCCTTATGAGGGCTGTCGCCCAGAATGTGTATTGAATTCGGATTGTGCTTCAAACAAAGCTTGTCAAAATCAAAAATGTGTGGACCCTTGTCCAGGAACCTGTGGTCAAAATGCAGAATGCAAGGTTATTAATCATTTGCCATCGTGTGATTGTGTACCTGGGTACACTGGAGATCCATACAGCTTCTGTTCTATTCTTCGAAATGAACGTAAGCCTTCGTTAATTGTCATAGGAAATTCCTCTAATAAAAGTTTTATTTTAGCTGTTCGTGAATACGTCAATCCTTGTCAGCCTTCACCATGTGGTCCTAACTCGCAATGCAGAGAAGTGAACAGTCAACCTGTTTGTTCTTGTCTGATAGAGTATATAGGTTCACCACCGGCTTGTAGGCCAGAGTGTACATCTAGTTCCGAATGTCCTTCGGATAAGGCTTGCGTTAATCGTAAATGTGTAGATCCTTGTCCTGGTGTTTGTGGTCAAAACGCTCTATGTCAAGTACGTAACCACAGTCCAATTTGTAGCTGCAACAATGGCTTCACTGGTGATGCGTTTGTCCGTTGCTTCCGCATACCACCACAAAGAGCCGATCCTACACCCCAACAACCCAGAGATCCCTGTGTTCCTTCGCCTTGTGGTCCCAATTCGCAATGTCGTGACATTGGTGGTTCACCATCGTGCTCTTGTTTACCAAACTTTTTGGGTTCGCCACCTTCTTGCAGACCTGAATGTACCATAAATTCGGAATGTGTCTCTCAAGAGGCATGCATTAATCAGAAATGCCGTGATCCTTGCCCAGGCTCATGTGGAATTAACACTTTATGTTTTGTACGCGCTCACACTCCTATATGTACGTGTCAAACAGGTTTTACAGGAGATCCATTTGCTGTTTGTAATCCAATTCCACCACCACCCGCTAAAAGTAAGACCTTACAAATGTTCGATGAAATTCAAATATTTTATTTTATATTGTCCCTTATTTTAAAAGCTGAAGTCGTTCCGGACGACCCCTGTAATCCATCACCTTGCGGTGCCAACGCAAATTGTAACAACGGTCAATGTTCTTGTCTACCAGAGTATCATGGTGATCCTTATACTGGCTGTAGACCTGAATGTGTTCTGCATACGGATTGTTCTCGCGACAAAGCCTGTGTTAGACATAAATGTGTAGATCCTTGTATAGGAACATGTGCATCGAATGCTATTTGCGAAGTTATCAATCATATACCTAATTGTAGATGTCCTGAGGGCATGCAGGGTAATGCTTTCACACTTTGTTCCCCCATTCCAAGTAAGACTGTAATAGCATTTTAGTCGATTTTTTGTATTTTAAAACTGAAACTTTTTGTAGAACAAGATTTGCCAATACATCCTTGCCAACCTTCACCTTGTGGTCCCAACTCACAATGTAGAGAAGTTAATCAGCAGGCTGTATGTTCGTGTATAGAAGGCTTCATGGGAAGTCCACCATTATGCAGGCCAGAATGTACATCTAATTCAGAATGTTCTTTGAATTTGGCTTGCTTAAACCAGAAGTGTACCGATCCTTGTCCTGGAGTATGTGGCCGCAATGCGTTATGCCATGTTAACAACCATAGTCCATACTGCAGATGTCCTGATAAATATGATGGAAATCCATTTGTTAGTTGTCAACCAAGAATAGAACCACCATCGCCGCCTGTGCGGCAACCTTGCCAGCCATCACCTTGCGGCCCGTACTCACAATGTCGCGAAGTAGGCGACAGTCCATCTTGTTCTTGTCTGGCAGATTATATAGGCGCACCACCCAATTGTAGACCCGAATGTGTTACTAGTTCAGAATGTCCGTCGAATCAAGCATGCATCAATCAGAAATGTAAGGATCCCTGCCCTGGCCTGTGTGGAGCAGAAGCTGAATGTCGTGTTATTTCTCATACACCCAGTTGCTACTGTCCACAAGGCTATGAAGGTGATCCTTTCGTTCAATGCATTAAACAACAAGTAACACAACAATTAGATCATATTGATCCCTGCAACCCTAGTCCATGTGGTCAAAATGCTCGTTGTGTTGCAAGAAATGATGCGGGATCATGCCAATGCTTCCCCGAATATTTCGGCAATCCCTACGAAGGTTGTCGTCCGGAATGTGTACTGGACTCTGATTGTGCCAGTAATTTGGCTTGTCAAAATATGAAATGTCGTGACCCATGCCCAGGAACATGTGGTCAAAACGCCATATGTAATGTTCTCAATCATGTACCAAGATGTTCCTGTATAAATGGTTATGAAGGTGATCCTTATCGCTCGTGTTTACCTGTAAAGCAACGTAAGTTTTGAATGATGCCAAGTAGGTTTCTTAAATCAATGATTTCATTTTGCTTTTGCCTTTGTTAGCCATCAAAGAGTATGTTAACCCTTGCCAACCCTCACCATGTGGACCCAATTCTCAATGTCGTGAAATAAACGAGCAACCCGTATGTTCTTGCTTGCCTGATTATGTCGGTAGTCCACCTCTTTGTAGACCCGAATGCACACAATCATCCGAATGTGCTTTCGATAAGGCTTGCGTCAATCAAAAATGTGTAGATCCATGCCCAGGAACATGTGGCACTAACGCTAATTGCAGAGTTCATAATCATAGTCCGTTGTGTACTTGTAGATCCGGATTTACAGGAGACCCGTTCTATATTTGTCGTCCCATACCACGTAAGGATATTAGAAATTTTTGATTCATACAACGAATTCAATTTGTGTTTTTCTCTAAAGCTCAACCTCCAATTCAAGTACAAAAAACGCCACAAGATCCATGTGTACCTTCTCCATGTGGATCCAATTCTCAATGTAGACGTGTAGGTGATTCGTTCTCATGTGCATGCTTACCAAATTATATAGGCGCACCTCCAAATTGCAGACCAGAGTGTGTCATTAACGCGGATTGTCCTAGTAATGAAGCTTGTATTAATGAAAAATGCCGCGACCCTTGTGCAGGAGCATGCGGTTTAGGTGCTCTTTGCGAGGTTAATAATCACACACCAAACTGCAGATGCCCTGCTGGTTTCACTGGAGATCCATTCTCTGTTTGCCAGCCTGCCCCACCACCACCACGTAAGCTTATTACGCCGTTTGGATTAAAACAAAATAATAAGATTAAATTTTCTTAGCACCTGTCAAAGACGATCCCTGCAATCCATCGCCATGTGGTCCCAATGCCCAATGCAATAATGGTGTTTGTTCTTGCATACCAGAATATCAAGGCGATCCTTATACCGGTTGTCGACCAGAATGTGTTTTGAATTCAGACTGTTCTCGTGAATTAGCTTGTATACAAAATAAATGTCGCGATCCTTGTCCTGGAACGTGTGCAACGAATGCTTTCTGTCAGGTTATTAACCACATACCCATGTGTACCTGTCCTGAAGGCATGGCCGGTAATGCTTTCATTTTGTGTTCTCCCATTCCACGTAAATATCAAACATTTGAAGTACATGTACCGGAAGTAAAAGAAAACAATAATGTTGTTTACATTTTAGCACCAGTTAAAGGCAATCCTTGTCAACCATCACCCTGTGGTCCAAACTCACAATGTCGCGAAGTAAATTCACAAGCTGTATGTTCATGCTTACCTAATTATTTGGGAGCACCTCCGGCGTGTCGTCCAGAATGTACCGCTAATCAAGAATGTCCTGCCAATTTGGCATGTGTCAATCAGAAATGTGTTGATCCATGTCCAGGATCATGTGGAAGAAATGCACAATGTTCGACAGTTAATCACAACCCATTCTGTACCTGCTTACCACGGTACACTGGAAATCCATTTGTGGCATGTCAGCCCATTATAGAACCACCACCACAAGACACACAACCTCAGGATCCTTGCAGACCTTCACCATGCGGTCCCAATTCGCAATGCAAAGCAGTTGGTGATACTCCAGCTTGTTCATGTCTAGATGGCTTCATAGGTTCAGCTCCATATTGCAAACCTGAATGTGTATCTAACTCTGAGTGTCCAACTAACATGGCGTGTATTAATCAAAAGTGTAAAGACCCTTGCATAGGACTATGTGGAGCTTCAGCCATATGTCGTGTAGTTTCACATACTCCTATGTGCACATGTCAAACTGGTTTTACAGGAGATCCATTTACATTGTGTTCTCCAATACCAGTGCGAATACATGAGGAACCTCTACATCCTTGCAATCCTTCGCCATGTGGTGCAAATGCTCAGTGTATAGAACGCAATGGTGCAGGAGCTTGTCAGTGTTTGCCAGAATTCTTTGGTAATCCTTATGAGGGTTGTCGACCCGAATGTGTTTTAAATTCTGATTGTCCTACCAACAAGGCTTGTCACAATCAGAAATGTCGCGATCCATGTCCAGGTACCTGTGGCAACAATGCAGAATGTTCCGTATTAAATCATGTGCCCAACTGTAATTGTTTCATTGGTTATACTGGAGATCCATACAGTTATTGTTCCAAGCCCCAAGAACGTAAGATATTACAAACATAAAAAGTTTTTTTATCATTTAATAAGTAGTAGTTAGATATGTTAGTTACTAACGGGTGATTTTAACATTGTATAATATTTAAATTTAGCTATACGTCAAGAATATGTTAATCCTTGTCAACCTTCACCATGTGGTCCCAACTCTCAATGTCGCGAGATCAATGAGCAGGCCGTGTGCTCTTGTCTTCCTGATTTTATAGGTGTAGCTCCAGCATGTCGTCCAGAATGTACTACAAATAGTGAATGCCCTTCAGATAGGGCTTGTATAAATCGCAAATGTTCAGACCCATGCCCCGGTGTATGTGGCCAGAATGCCGAATGTCACGTTAGAAATCATAATCCATTATGTTCATGTCGCCCTGGTTTGATTGGTGATGCATTTGTGCGCTGTTATCCACAACCATGTAAGCTTTTACGCCCTTTACACCCCGAAAAATTATATTTATTATTTTTCAATTTGGAAAAATTAGCTCCTCAACCCCCTGTTAAGGATGTCCAAATTTACCGCGATCCTTGTGCGCCGTCCCCTTGTGGTCCATTCTCACAATGTCGCAATCAATACGATTCGCCTTCTTGCTCGTGTCTACCAAATTATATAGGTTCACCTCCAAACTGTAGACCTGAATGTTCAATCAATGCCGACTGTCCTTCAAGCCAAGCCTGCATTAATGAAAAATGTCGCGATCCATGTCCTGGCGCATGTGGTATTAACACCGAATGTACAGTCATTAATCATATACCAAATTGCAAATGTAAATTGGGATATGTGGGTGATGCCTTCGTTGTCTGTCAGCCAGCACCTCCTCCACCGAAAATCGAAAAAGATGTACCACGGGACCCATGTTATCCCAATCCTTGTGGTTCCAATGCTATTTGTTCAGGTGATGGAGTATGTTCTTGCTTGTCAGATTACCAAGGAGATCCCTATGTAGCCTGTAAGCCAGAATGTGTTCTGAACTCAGAATGTCCCAGTAATCAAGCTTGCATAAATCAAAAATGCCGTGACCCCTGTCCTGGTACATGTGCCTCCAATGCCATATGTGAAGTACGAAATCATATACCAATGTGTCATTGTCCTGATCGCATGACTGGAAACGCGTTTGTGTTGTGTCAACCGGTGCAACAAAGTAGGTTGAATTTACGAAATCGCAAAGTACTCGATTTGTTATTTTTATTTATCTTAATATAGCTGAGGTGTACCGCAACCCCTGTCAGCCTTCTCCATGTGGACCCAATTCGCAATGCCGCGAAATAAATAATCAAGCTGTGTGCTCATGTCTACCAAACTTCTTAGGTTCTCCTCCTAGTTGTCGCCCTGAATGCACAACTAATTCAGAATGTCCCGCCAATTTGGCCTGCCAAAATCAAAAATGTATTGATCCTTGTCCGGGAACGTGTGGACGATTTGCCCTATGCAATGTTGTAAACCACAGTCCATTCTGTACTTGTCTTCAAGGTTATACCGGAAATCCTTTCATACAGTGTCATAGAATAAGTAAGTTTTTTTAGATTTTTTTGAAAACACTACTAAATAATCGAGTTGTGAATTTATGAATACAGTTGAACCTCAACGGGATGTAGAACCTTCGAATCCTTGCCAACCGTCACCATGTGGTCCAAATAGTATTTGTAAAGCTATAGGAACAACTCCATCGTGTTCATGTATACCAGAATTTGTTGGACAACCACCAAATTGTCGACCGGAATGTGTAACAAACTCAGAGTGTCCATCGCACCAAGTATGCTCGAACCAAAAATGTAAAGATCCCTGTCCAGGTCTATGTGGTCAAAGTGCCCTTTGCCGTGTTAATAGCCACACTCCGATGTGTTATTGTGAAAACGGTTACACCGGCGATCCGTTTGTTGCCTGTTCTCCTATACCTCAACAGAATCCTGTTGAAACTGTTGATCCCTGTAATCCTTCGCCTTGTGGACCCTATGCCGAATGTCGCCAACAAAATGGAGTTGGATCTTGTCAATGTCTACCAGAATATTTCGGCAATCCATACGAAGGCTGTCGTCCAGAATGTATAGTAAATTCTGATTGTCCTTCGAATAGAGCATGTGTAAATGAGAAATGTAAAAATCCCTGTCCTGGCACATGTGGTCTCAATGCTGAATGTTTTGTGCGAAATCACCAGGCAACTTGTAATTGCTTATACGGTTATCAAGGAGACCCATATCGTTATTGCGCAAAGGAGGAAAAACGTAAGAAAAATCATCAATATGTGCCTATTTTAGTGTATAATGTTGTTATTCCCTCTTCAGCCATTATTCGTGAATATGTTAACCCCTGTCAACCTTCTCCTTGTGGCCCCAACTCACAATGCAAAGAGTCTAATGAACAAGCTGTTTGTTCTTGTTTACCAGAATATGTAGGAGCTCCTCCTACCTGTAGACCCGAATGTACTACAAGTTCAGAATGTTCTGCAGATAAGGCTTGTATTAATCAGAAATGTAAAGACCCTTGTCCAGGTGTCTGTGGCTTACAGGCCTTGTGCAATGTACGTAATCATGTGCCTTTATGTAGTTGTCAAAATGGTTACACTGGAGATCCCTTCACTCGCTGTTACCCCATACCTCGTAAGTTTTTTTCAGCCAATTTCTTAAAAGAATGTGTTGTAAAATCCCAAATTTTAGCTCCACCACCAGTAGTGTTTGCTGAGCCTATTCGCGATCCATGTGTTCCCTCGCCTTGTGGCCCTAATTCACAATGTCAAAATAGAAATGGTCAAGCATCATGTTCATGTCTTCCTAATTTCTTTGGTGCTCCTCCTAGCTGTCGTCCTGAATGTACCACAAATTCAGAGTGTTCTCTAAATATGGCATGCATAAATATGCGTTGCATAGATCCTTGCCCTGGATCATGTGCTTATAATGCTTTGTGTACTGTTCAAAATCACATACCTAGTTGTCATTGCCCCGAAGGTTATGTCGGTGATCCATTTACCGCCTGTCAATTAGCTCCAAAACGTAAGCGTTACTACGAATACTTTGTTTAGAATTTTTTTAATGTTTCACGTACTTCTTTAGCTAAACCTGTAGTAGAAGATGATCCTTGTAATCCTTCTCCATGTGGCTCAAATGCTTTGTGCAATAATGGTCAGTGTTCGTGTATTCCCGAATATCAGGGAGATCCCTATGTAGCTTGTCGACCCGAATGTGTACTAAATACAGAATGTCCAACTAATAAAGCATGTATTCGCAATAAATGCGTAGATCCTTGTCCGGGTACTTGTGGAAATAATGCTTTATGTGATGTTTATAATCATGTTCCGATGTGTCGCTGTCCTGAAGGAATGACCGGTAATGCCTTTGTTCAATGCGATATTGAGCCTAAGCCAGTTGACACAAATCCATGTCAACCATCGCCTTGTGGACCTAATAGTCGCTGTAGAGTTCATCAAAATACAGCAGTATGTTCGTGCATCGAAAATTATATTGGTAACCCACCATCCTGCAGACCGGAATGTACCATAAATTCTGACTGTGCACCACAAATGTCTTGTCAAAATCTCAAATGCGTGGATCCCTGCCCGGGATCATGCGGTTTGAATGCAATGTGCCATGTGGTGAACCATGCTCCCATTTGCACTTGCCCATCACGCTTTTCAGGAAATCCTTTCGTAAGCTGCCAACCTGTAGTAGAACCACCTAAAAAGTTGGATGATAAACCGGATCCTTGTCTACCATCTCCATGCGGTCCTAATTCCCAGTGCCGGGTTGTCGGAGACTCACCATCATGCTCTTGCTTAGCAGATTTTACTGGTTCTCCACCAAACTGCCGTCCAGAATGTGTATCCAATTCGGAATGCCCATCCAATAAAGCCTGCATTAATCAGAAATGTAAAGATCCTTGTCCGGGAGTATGTGGTCAAAATGCTTTGTGCAATGTGATCTCACACACCGCCATGTGTACTTGTTCACCTGGCTACACGGGAGATCCATTCACAGGTTGTTCTATACCCCCTGTAAGGCTAACTGATCATGTAACTCCTTGTCAGCCAAATCCTTGTGGATCTAATGCTGTCTGCCGACAAGAGAATAATGCCGGATCTTGTCAATGTCTACCCGAATATTTTGGAAATCCTTATGAAGGCTGTAGACCAGAATGTGTTTCCAATTCGGACTGCTCTTCGAACAAAGCTTGTGTTAACCAAAAATGCAGAGATCCTTGCCCGGGAGTATGTGGCTTAAATGCTATTTGTAGTGTAGTCAATCACTTGCCAACTTGTCAGTGTATGTCAGAATATGTAGGTGATCCTTATCAATATTGCCAAATACCAGAAAAACGTAAGTTTAATAGGCCGCATTTTGAAACGAGACCTTAACCAATTCTCTACCTCTTAAATTTAGCAATTATCAAAGAGTATGTGAATCCTTGCCAACCTTCACCTTGTGGACCCAACTCCCAATGCCGTGAAGTTAATAATCAAGCTGTCTGCTCTTGCTTGCCTGATTACATGGGAGTACCTCCCACTTGCCGTCCTGAATGTACTACAAATTCGGAATGCGCATTCGATAAAGCATGTGTAAATCGTAAATGTGTAGACCCTTGTCCAGGATCTTGTGGTAGCAATGCTGATTGTCGTGTCGTTAGTCATTCACCTATATGTTCTTGTAGAAATGGCTTCACTGGCAATGCATTTACACGATGTTATCCCATTCCATCTAGTAAGAGTTTTTTAGGTTTCATAAAAGGGTATTTAATTAAACTCAATTTTTGTTTAGCACCTCCACCAATACCACAAAAGGATGTTTCCCCTAATCCCTGCTTGCCATCTCCCTGTGGTCAATTTGCCCAGTGTCGTGACGTAGGCGGTTCAGCTTCTTGTTCCTGTTTACCAACATATAGAGGATCACCACCTAATTGTAGACCTGAATGTACTATAAATTCCGATTGTCCTAGTTCGCAGGCCTGTATAAACCAAAAATGTCAAGACCCCTGCCCAGGAGCTTGTGGTTTTAGTGCCCAATGTCATGTGGTTAATCATACACCTATATGCCAATGTTTACAAGGTTTGATAGGCGATCCTTTTGTCAGTTGTCGCCAACCACCAGTAGAACCAATAAAAGTTCCACCTTCTAATGAAGATCCATGTAACCCTTCACCTTGTGGAGTTAACGCAATATGTCAAAACGGTCAATGTTCATGTTTGCCGGAATACCAAGGAAATCCTTTGATAGGATGCAGGCCTGAATGTGTTCTCAATTCCGATTGTCCAACAAATAAGGCTTGTATTAATCAAAAATGTCAAGATCCTTGTCCCGGAACGTGTGCTTCCAACGCCATTTGTGAAGTTCATCAACATGTGCCCATGTGTCACTGCCCAGAAGGTATGATTGGCAATGCATTTATTCAATGTGAACCAAGACCGCCTGTAAGATTAAATCAACCTTGCCAACCCTCACCATGTGGACAAAATGCTCAATGCCGAGTTCTAAATGAACAGGCCGTATGCTCGTGTTTGCCAAATTATATAGGAGCACCTCCAACATGTAGGCCAGAATGTACAACCAACAATGAATGTGCCTTAAATAAGGCTTGTCTACAACAGAAATGTAACGATCCTTGTCCCGGAGCATGCGGATCTAATACCGAATGTTCTGTACACAATCACAGTCCCATTTGTCGTTGTATTAATGGATTCAGTGGTAATCCATTTATAGGCTGCCAACCAATAAGAAGTAAATTTGCTCACATTTCAGAAGAAAACATTTAATAACAAATATTCTTTTTTAGTTGTTCCACAACTTGATACACCCAAATACAAAGATCCCTGCAGACCCTCCCCCTGTGGTCCGAATTCTGAATGTCGAGCAATTGGTGAAAGTCCTTCTTGTTCGTGCTTGAAAGACTTTGTAGGTTCACCACCAAATTGTAGACCAGAATGCGTGACTAATTCGGAGTGTTCCTCAAGTGAGGCTTGTATTAATCAACATTGTCGCGATCCTTGTCCCGGAGTATGCGGCTCTAATGCCGAATGTCGTGTCATTAATCACACACCTATGTGTTATTGCCCTAGTGGTTACTCGGGAGATCCGTTCTCTCTTTGTTCGATAGTTAAAGATACACCTGTAGAACCGATACGACCCTGCCAACCCAATCCCTGTGGTCCAAATGCTGAGTGTTTGGAACGCAATGGAGTAGGAGCCTGCCAATGTCTGCCTGAATTCTTAGGAAATCCTTATGAAGGTTGCCGACCAGAATGTGTGATCAACTCTGACTGTCCCACCCATTTGGCTTGTATGAACAGCAAGTGCAAAGATCCTTGTCCTGGAACATGTGGCCGCAACGCCGAATGTCATGTACACAACCACTTACCAACTTGTACTTGCATTACCGGTTATACAGGAGATCCATATTCCTACTGCAATCTTCAACCAGAACGTAATACCTATTAAGAATGCATTATAAAGATAAGATTTTAAATTGTAATTACTGTTCCTTTTTAGCCGTGTTTGATGTTAGCAATCCTTGTCAGCCTTCACCTTGTGGGCCAAACTCTCAATGTCGTGTATTAAAGAACCAAGCTATATGCTCATGTTTGCCTGAATTTATTGGCCAACCACCAAGTTGTCGCCCAGAATGTATCATATCTAGTGAATGTTCGTTTGACAAAGCTTGTAGTAATCAGAAATGTGTTGACCCTTGTCCCGGTACTTGCGGAATAAATGCAGAATGTCGTGTATTAAATCACAGTCCCTTATGTTCTTGTCGTGACGGCTTTACTGGAGATGCTTTCATAAGATGTTTACCAATTACCCCAGAACGTAATATAATAATTTCTTATCAAAGAGAAGAAACTAACTTAATACTTTTTATAGCACTCCCGCCGGTTATAGTGAAGGACACATATAGAGATCCATGTGTACCATCGCCATGTGGCATGAATGCCCAATGTAGAGTTATAAATCAACAAGCCTCCTGTTCTTGCGTTACAGGATACTTTGGCGCTCCACCCAATTGTCGACCGGAATGTTCAATTAATGCTGATTGTCCTTCTAACCAGGCCTGTATTAATGAGAAATGTCGTGACCCTTGTCCCGGATCGTGTGGTATTTCTGCACTATGCACAGTTGTAACACACACTCCCATATGTTCTTGCCCTGCAGACTATATGGGAGACCCCTTCACCGCGTGTGTTCCTAAGCCTGTCGTGCAAGATCCAAGTAATATAAAGTTTAATTTTTGTTTTTTATCATAGCTTTTATTAAATCCTTTCAAAACATTTCTTAGTTGTACCAAAAGACCCTTGTCACCCATCGCCTTGTGGTTCAAATGCTGTTTGTAATAACGGCCAGTGTACCTGTCTGCCGGAATATCAGGGAAATCCATACGTTGGTTGTAGGCCGGAATGTGTCTTAAATACAGACTGTCAACGCGATAGGGCGTGTATACGCAATAAATGCAAAGATCCTTGCCCTGGAACATGTGGTATTGGAGCTTTGTGCGATACTTACAATCATGTACCCATGTGTCGTTGTCCTCCGGGCATGACAGGCAATGCTTTTGTGCAATGCGTAGCGTTAGAAAGTAAGAATATATCATTTTCTATTACAAATATTCTCGTCATTACAATGAAAAATTGTTATATTGTTTTTAGCTCCCATTCTTAAAACACCAAAACACCCTTGTCAGCCATCTCCTTGTGGGCCTAATTCACAGTGCAGGGAATTAAACGAGCAAGCTGTTTGCTCTTGTTTGCCAAATTATTTGGGATCTCCTCCGGATTGCCGTCCTGAGTGTTCTATAAACTCCGATTGCCCTCCCAATTTAGCATGTGTTAATCAAAAATGTCGAGATCCTTGCCCTGGATCTTGTGGCATAAGAGCTGAATGCAATGTTGTCAACCATACGCCTTATTGCAAATGTCCGTCAGGTTACACTGGAAATGCATTTGTAATGTGTCAAATTCTACCGCAACCCCCCGTCAAAATACAAGAAGAACCAGTCAATCCTTGCATACCATCGCCATGTGGCCCCAACTCAGAGTGCAAGGTTGATAGGGGTTCGGCTTCATGTTCCTGTCTGCCAGATTACACAGGATCCCCACCTAATTGTCGACCTGAATGCATAAGTTCATCGGAATGCGCAAGTAATTTAGCTTGTATTAACATGAAATGTCAAGATCCCTGCCCTGGAGTCTGTGGCAAATCCGCCGTTTGTCATGTTGTTAGTCATACACCCTCGTGCAGTTGCGTAAGCGGTTACATAGGTGATCCATTCACTTTATGTTATCCACCACCACAAATTGAAAGGGAGCAAGTTAATCCTTGCTCGCCCAGCCCTTGTGGTAGCAATGCTAAATGCCGCGAACTTAATGGAGCTGGATCATGCCAATGCCTGCCTGACTATTACGGAAATCCTTATGAAGGCTGTCGCCCTGAATGTGTAGTAAATACAGATTGTCCAGCTAATAAAGCTTGTCAAAATCAGAAATGTCGCGATCCTTGTCCCGGAGTTTGTGGTCAAAATGCCATGTGTAATGCCATCAATCATTTGCCAGCCTGTTCATGTTTCGATGGCTATACCGGAGATCCATATAGCTATTGCAATATTATTAGAGAACGTAAGAATTTAAGATATAATATTATTTAATGTTTATGTAGTTGTACTAAACTGTTTATATGTAAATTAGCTATACGTGAGTATGTCAATCCTTGTCAACCCTCACCATGTGGTCCCAATTCACAGTGTCGCGAAGTGAATGAGCAAGCAATATGCTCTTGTTTACCTGAGTATGTTGGCTCTTCACCGAATTGTAGACCAGAGTGTACAGTAAATTCAGAGTGTCCAGCGATAAAGGCTTGTGTTAATCAGAAATGTCAGGATCCTTGTGTCAACGTGTGTGGTTTAAATGCGGAATGTCGTGTTATGAATCACTCTCCCATTTGTAGATGTAGTCCCGGTTATACCGGAGATGCATTTACGAGATGTTCGCCAATACCTGCATTACCACCACCACTTAGGGAACCCTACAGGGATCCGTGTGTACCTTCACCTTGTGGCCAGTATGCACAATGTAGATTGATTAATGATAATCAGCCTACTTGTAGCTGCCTACCCACATATGTTGGTTCACCGCCCAACTGTCGCCCAGAATGTATTATAAATTCAGATTGCCCTAATCATCAATCATGTATAAATGAACGTTGTAAAGATCCCTGTCCCGGTTCATGTGGTCTTAATGCATTATGTTCGGTTATTAATCATATACCGTCCTGTATTTGTCCCGACGGTTATTCGGGAGATCCTTTCTCACGATGTGCTCCTAAGGTCTTAGCTTTACCACGTAAGATTTCTGAATTCACGCAATTTAAACCTAAATTCAATTGGAATATAAATTTTATTTAGCTCCCACGCCAATAGCCGACGATCCTTGCCATCCATCACCTTGTGGTCCTAACAGCGAATGCCAGAACGGTATTTGTTCTTGTCTACCTGAATACCAAGGAGATCCATATCGCGGTTGTAGACCAGAATGTATTTTGAATTCAGAGTGTTCTCGTGATAAGGCTTGTATTAATCAAAAATGTCGCGATCCATGTCCAGGAACCTGCGCCTCAAATGCCATTTGTGAAGTTCATAATCATGTGCCTATGTGTCATTGTAGTGATGATATGGAAGGTGATGCCTTCATTATGTGTAGGCCCAAGCAAAAACGTAATAATTCGCTATTTGTATACAATAACATCGAAGTCACAAGTTTATTTTTCATTTCCATAGTTGAAATACAACATCAAAATCCCTGTATTCCCTCGCCTTGTGGTCCCAACTCTCATTGTCGCGAAGCAAATGGTGTAGCGTCATGTTCTTGTCTGCCAGACATGTTAGGCTCTCCTCCATCTTGCCGACCCGAATGTATTACAAACTCTGAATGTCCATCGAATAGAGCTTGCATCAATAGGAAATGTCAGGACCCTTGCCCAGGAAGTTGCGGATATCAGGCCGTATGTCACGTTGTCAATCATAATCCATTGTGTTCTTGTCCCGCTGGTTATACTGGCAGTCCTTTTGTTGAATGCCAACCTATAATAAGTATGATTTATATTACCTATCAAATCAAGCAACGATATAATAATGTTTAATTTAATAGTTCCACCCCAACGCGATATTGTACCACAAAACCCTTGTATACCTTCACCATGCGGACCTTATTCTCAATGCGAAAATGTTCAAGGTGCAGCTTCTTGTAAATGTTTACCAAATTACATTGGAAGCGCTCCATATTGTCGTCCAGAATGTGTGTCAAATTCGGAATGCGTTTCAAGTTTGGCCTGTATTAATCAGAAATGTCGAGATCCTTGCCCTGGAGTGTGTGGTAATAATGCTGAGTGTAGAACTGTAAATCATATTGCTATGTGTACATGTATTCCGGGATACATAGGTGATCCCTTCACAAATTGTCAAGCGGATGTACCACAAAAACCTTATGTTCCACCTCGGCCGCAATATCCTCTACCTACTAGACAGCCACCATTTATTGAAACGCAAACTCCGGGCTATGTTCAGCCACAAACATATCCTTCACCTACTAGACAGCCGCCATTTATTGAAACGCAAACGCCCGGCTATGTTCAGCCACAAACCTATCCTCCACCTACTAGACAGCCACCATTTATTGAAGTGCCCCAAGCACAAACGCCCGACTATGTTCAGCCACAAACTTATCCTCAACCAACAAGGCGTCCTGCTGTATCGGAAGAGCCTCAAAGTCAACCACCTGTTATATACCAACCGGAATCGCCCGACTATGTTCAACCCCAAACTTATCCTCAACCAACAAGACGTCCTCTTGTATCGGAAAAGCCTCAAAGTCAACCACCTATTATATACCAACCGGAATCACCAACACATAGGCCTGAGGCGATGCCACAAACTCCACAATATAGGCCTTCAATTCCTCAACAACACACACCATTCCATGAGCAGATTAATCCATGTGAACCCAATCCTTGTGGATCAAATGCAGAGTGTCGTACACATAACAATGCTGGATCTTGTGTTTGTTTGCCCAACTACTTTGGTAATCCATATGAAGGTTGCAGGCCCGAATGCGTTTTGAATTCCGATTGTCCTTCTACAAAATCCTGTATTCAGACAAAATGTCAAGATCCTTGTCCGGGTACTTGTGGTCAAAATGCTTTGTGTCATGTAACAAATCATTTGCCAACATGTACCTGTTACACCGGGTACTCTGGTGATCCCTATAGTATTTGTCGTCCCATAAAGCAAAGTAAGATTTTCTTAAATCGCACCAAAGGCTTTCTACTAATATTTTCCCCTTGATTTTTAAAAAACTCTCTAGAAGAACCTGTAGTCTATGTAAATCCTTGCCAGCCTTCACCGTGCGGTCCTAATTCTCAGTGTCGCGAAATAAATGAACAGGCAGTATGTTCATGCTTGCCTGAATTCGTAGGTTCGCCGCCCGCATGTAGACCAGAATGTACAACCAATAGTGAATGTTCTTTAGATAAGGCCTGCATTAATAGAAAATGCGCAGATCCTTGTCCGGGTACATGTGGTCTCAATGCTGAGTGTCGCGTTATAAATCATATTCCCATGTGTTCTTGTTTGCCTTCATTTACTGGTGATGCTTTCAGTAGATGTTATAGTCAACCACGTAAGATTTCGAAACATATAAATATGAAATTAAGAATTTCTAAATATAGTACAAATTTGTTAAATTTAGCTCCACCACCTGCTCCTACTACTCCACCTACCGCGATCGTTGCTATTCAAGAAGAACCCATTAATCCTTGTTATTCGTCACCTTGTGGTCAATATGCTCAGTGTCATAATCGTAATGGCGCTGCTATTTGTGCTTGTCTACCAAATTATATAGGTTCACCTCCGAACTGTCGACCTGAATGTGTAGTCAACTCCGATTGCCCAGCTCATTTATCATGTTTCAACGAAAAATGCCGTGATCCATGTCCTGGATCTTGTGGCTTCAATGCCCTATGCAACGTAGTAAATCATATACCAAACTGCGTTTGTGAAGCTGGAATGATAGGTGATCCCTTTACTGGTTGCCATCCACAACCACCTATTATAAAAACATCACTACCAGAAGTAAACGATGAAAATCCTTGTATTCCTTCTCCTTGCGGTGCAAATGCAAAATGTGAAAGAGGTGTTTGTTCCTGTCTACCGGAATATCATGGTGATCCTTATGTGGGATGTAGACCAGAATGCATTTTGAACAGCGACTGCCCTAGAGATCGTGCTTGTATTAATCAAAAATGTCAGGATCCCTGCCCAGGAACTTGTGGCCAAAATGCTGAATGCAATGTTATCAATCACACTCCAATGTGTTCATGTCCAGTCGGTATGACTGGTAATGCATTTATACGTTGTGCAGCAATAAGAGAACCGATTAGAGAAGATTCTCCTAAGCCTCCTCCACAGAACCCTTGCCAGCCATCACCCTGCGGTCCCAACGCACAATGTAGACAAATTAATCAGCAAGCTGTGTGCAGTTGTATTACAGGATATTTAGGTTCACCGCCTTCATGCCGACCCGAATGTACCTCGAATTACGATTGTCCGGCCGACAGATATTGTTTGAATCAAAAGTGTAAGGATGCCTGTGCTGGTGCTTGTGGTGTAACTGCGGTTTGTCACGCCTACAATCATGGGCCAATGTGCTCATGTCCACCCAGATACACGGGAAATCCTTTTGTTAGATGTTTGCCAATAGGTATTCAATATAAAAAATAATTAGTTTCTTTTTTAATACTTTTGTTGTTAAATACATTACAGTCGAACCATTGCCTTCTCCTCCACCTAAAGCTGATATACCTACAAATCCTTGTCAACCTTCGCCTTGTGGTCCATATTCGCAGTGCTCTTTAGACCCGTTAGATAATTCCGCAAAATGTTCTTGTTTGCCAGAATTCGTCGGTCAAGCTCCTTATTGTCGACCTGAGTGTATAACTAGTGCCGAATGTGCTTCAGACAAAGCCTGCATTAATCAAAAATGCAGTGATCCTTGTCCTGGTTCATGTGGTGATCAGGCCGAATGTCGTGTTTTAGCTCATAGTGCCATGTGTTATTGTCCAAGTGGTTTAACTGGCGATCCTTTCTCCCAATGCGTTCGTCAACAAGAACCGCCCACCGAAGTCGTCGTACCATGCAGTCCCAGCCCATGTGGCTCCAATGCTTTGTGTCGTGTTCATAATGACTTGAGTATTTGCCAATGTTTACCAGACTATTATGGTAATCCTTATGAGGCATGCCGTCCTGAATGTTTACGCAATTCGGACTGTGCTTCCAATAAGGCTTGTCAAAATCAAAAATGTCGTGATCCTTGTCCTGGAACATGTGGTCATAATGCTCAATGTCAAGTCGTTAATCATATACCCAATTGTGCTTGCTTAGCAGGTTATCAGGGTGATCCTTATAGACAATGTATAAAGCAGTTAGATGAACGTAAGCATAAAATTCCTAACGAAACCAACCAACAAACCAACCCTAATAATAATTACTATAATAACCAAGTAACATTTTACAAATATTAAAAAACGCCGTTAATGACCCTTTGGGGAACAAGAGAGTGTTCTTACCAAAACCAACAATTAAAATCCACCCCTCAGATAAGCCTTTCGAAAAATGCACCCAATATTGTACTGACTTTAAAGCCTTAAAACCTCTTCTATTTACGCTTTTCAATATTTTCTCACTCGTACTCGTGTACGCTATTATATTATAATTTATTTTATAAGATAATTGCTTTGCTTTAAAATATTGTAAATAGTGCTTATTTAATAATTGCTTTAGCTTCTCGAACTAAAACCCTTTTTGATTACTAAGTATTTTGAATCAAATGTCCAAGGCATTAATGTTTTTTACTTTGAATATGTATAGCCAAACCTCCAGTGTATGTTAACCCATGTCAACCCTCGCCCTGCGGAGCTAATGCCCAATGTCGCGAAGTCAATGGACAAGCTGTATGTTCCTGCTTGCCAGAATTTGTTGGCTCTCCTCCAGCTTGTCGACCTGAATGTGTAGTTAGCTCGGAATGTCCCTCCGATAAGGCTTGTATTAATCAGAAATGCCAAGATCCTTGTCCGGGATCTTGTGGTGTAAATGCTGAATGCCATGTACGAAGTCACAGTCCTCTGTGCTCTTGCAAACCTGGCTATACTGGAGAAGCATTCACAAGATGTCAACTTATACCGGAACGTAAACAAGATCAACCACCTGCCGTACCTGTCAATCCCTGTTTGCCTTCACCTTGCGGACCCTACTCGCAATGCAGAGAAGTTAATGGTGCAGCATCATGCAGTTGTCTGCCAAACTACATTGGAGCAGCGCCTAACTGTCGACCGGAATGTACCATCAATGCTGAATGTGCTAGTAACATGGCTTGTATTAATGAAAAATGTCGCGATCCTTGTCCCGGCTCGTGTGGCTTTGATGCTATGTGTAATGTAATTAATCACACACCAAGCTGTTCATGTCCTGTAGGCTACACTGGTGATCCATTTACTAGCTGTAGAATTTTGCCTCCTTCACCACCACCAAGTATGACAATTTAGTTATTTAAGCAATTTCTAGGATAGTATTAAAAAAAACATTTTGTAAAACATTTTCAGAACCTAAAGACCCTGTAGACCCATGCAATCCTTCACCTTGCGGCTCAAATTCAGTTTGCCACAATGGCCAATGTTCATGTTTGCCTGAATATCATGGTGATCCCTATATTGGCTGTCGTCCAGAATGTGTGCTCAATTCAGATTGTGCTCGCAATCGGGCTTGTGTACGTAATAAATGTGTTGATCCTTGTCCCGGAACATGTGGTCGCAATGCCTTGTGCGAGGTTAACAATCACATAGCAATGTGTCGCTGCCCGGAACGCATGACAGGAAATGCATTTGTTTCGTGCGAACCCATACGCGATGAAATACCTAAGAATCCTTGTCAGCCCTCACCTTGTGGTCCCAACTCGCAGTGCTTAGAACGTAATGGAAATGCAATATGTTCTTGCATCACCGGTTTCTTGGGTAATCCTCCAAATTGTCGTTTGGAATGTTATTCCAGTTCAGACTGTTCACCGGTACATGCCTGTATCAACAACAAATGTGTAGATCCTTGTCCGGGTAAATGTGGTTTGAATGCCGAATGTCAAGCCGTACAGCATAGGGCACACTGCGAATGTTTAAGAGGTTTCGAAGGAAATCCTTACTCAGCCTGCAACAGAATAGGTAGAATATTTTTAGCAAATTCCAGCTCTGAACAGTTTTGTAACATATCTTTAATTTCTTGCAAACCCCTAGAAATACGTCATGAACCTCCAGCCAAACCAAAAGATCCTTGTTATCCTTCACCGTGTGGCCCCAATTCTCAGTGTTCTAATGTCAATGATCAAGCCAGATGTACTTGCTTAGCTGACTTTGTAGGTGCGCCACCAAACTGTCGACCCGAGTGCACCAGTAATGACGATTGTAGCAACACTTTGGCATGTATAAATCAAAAATGTCGTGATCCTTGCCCCGGTTCTTGCGGCTTTAATGCCAATTGTATTGTAACACTACACATACCTAACTGTCATTGTCCTAATGGTATGACTGGCGATCCTTTCCGTATGTGCTACGAACGTAAAGAAAGTAAGGCATCTTCGAATTTTTGCGTTATATTTAGAGACTATAAAGGCTTTTTTGAATAGGCAGTGAAATTATATGACTTTATATTTTTATTTCAGTTTTACCTCCTAAACATGAGGAACCAAAGAATCCTTGCCGTCCTTCACCTTGTGGTAGCAATGCAGAATGCCGCATTCGCGGTTCAGGCTTTACATGTGAGTGTGTCAATGACTATATTGGAAATCCTTACGAAGGATGTCGTCCCGAATGTGTGGGCAACTCTGAATGTCCCGCCAATCGTGCTTGTATACGTCAGAAGTGTGCCGATCCATGCCCGGGCACTTGTGGTACTGAAGCTGTTTGTTCGATCAACAATCATATACCGATTTGCTCATGTCCTCCTGGCTACACTGGCAATGCTTTCGTACAATGCTCACCTATTAAGGTCGAGAACATACCGGTGGAAAAAACAGATCCTTGCTATCCAACACCATGTGGCCAAAACACTATTTGCAAGGTGCAACGTGGCCAAGCTGTATGCGAATGCCTGCCTGGTTTCTTCGGTAACCCGTATGGACAAGAATGCAGACCAGAATGTACGCTCAGCTCAGATTGTGCCAAGAATAAGGCTTGTGTCAATAATAAATGTATAGATCCTTGCCCAGGAGTATGCGGCTATGGAGCTGTATGTCAAACTGTAAATCACAATCCAATTTGTAGCTGTCCCTCGACAATGGTGGGTAATCCATTTGTTGAATGCCACGAAGCACCCAAGCAATTGGAACCTGTCGATCCATGCAACCCTTCACCTTGTCGGTCGAATGGTATTTGTCGCGTCGTTAATGGTGTTGCCTCATGTTCATATCCAGAATGTGTCGTTAATGAAGACTGCTCAAGAGATAGGTCTTGTGTTAACCAAAAATGTCGCGACCCTTGCATTAATGCTTGTGGCCTTAATGCTATTTGTAATGCGATTAATCATAAGGCTATCTGTACCTGTCCACCTGGTTACTATGGCTCTGCCTACAGTCAGTGCTTGCAGCAAATGGATGTGGTACCAGTACCTAGACCAGAATGTACATCTGACAGCGATTGTAGTAACGATAAGGCTTGTGTCAATCAACAATGTAAGAACCCTTGTGAACTGGGTAATATCTGCGGTCAAAATGCACGCTGCCATGTTCAACTTCACAGACCATTATGTGTATGCAATGAAGGATTCACTGGAAATGCCCTTAACAACTGTTACTTGATTGGTTGTCGCTCTGATGATGAATGTCCTGCAACTGAGGCCTGTATCAACAAACAATGTACAGACCCTTGCCTATACACTCAGTGTGGTGCTCAAGCTGTCTGCCGTTCAGATTACAATCATAAAGCTAGATGCCACTGTCCCGATGGTTATCGTGGAAATCCTCTTGTACGCTGCGAACGTCCTGAATGTACTCGCGATGATGATTGTGCCTTCAACTTGGCCTGTCGCAATGAACGCTGCGAAGATCCTTGCAATTGCGGAATAGGAGCCCAATGTCGCGTCAATAACCATCAAGCACAGTGCAGATGTCCACCCGGCTATGTAGGTAACCCAGCAGTGCGCTGTGAAATCGAAGAAACAAAGGTTGCTCCTCAATGTACAATGGATTCAGATTGTAGCAGTAAACTGGCATGCTTTAGTGGTGAATGCAAAAACCCCTGTATTGTAACTAAACCTTGTGGATCGAACGCCATATGTTCTGTAGTCGACACCTTACCTCTAAGGACAATGATTTGTGAATGTGAACCCGGTTTTGTGGGTGACGCTGATGTTGGCTGTCGCAAAGGTAAATAGAGCATAGTTATTAGACATATTTCATATTACTTATTCGAATGGAGTTAAATAAACTCAAAGATTTTTGTCTTTTACAGCCTGTTTTTGTACAAAGATTATCTTAACATTCTTTTTCAGCAGATATAATACTTTTGCAATACCTAACTTCCTTAGACCATAAGCACTTTAGTATCTAGCTTCTAACTTTAAAAGAGCACTTGCACCATAGCACCTCTAGTCAACCACTAAATGCTAACTTTTTCATTTTTATCTTTAGAACCTGTTCGTGATCAAGGTTGCCAATCCAATGAACAATGTCCTTCTACAGAGGCTTGTCGCAATGGTAACTGTGTCAATCCTTGCATTGACGCTTCACCTTGCGCTCGTACTGCCGAATGTTTGGCTCAACAGCACCGAGCTGTCTGCACATGTCCTCAGGGTACTCAAGGAGATCCATTCACTAACTGCTATCAACCTAGTAAGATAAAAACAAACCTTGAATTGTGATATTTAACTAATTATCCATTATTTTTGTGATTTTTTAGCTAATGTTTTGGCTGGTTGTGCACATGACTCGGAATGCTCTCCCACAACAGCTTGTATTAACAAACGTTGCCAGGATCCATGTGCCGAAGGTAATCCATGTGCTGGAAACGCTGAATGTAGAGTTTCGAATAACCGTCCCATTTGCTCATGCCCATCTGGCTGGGGTGGTGATCCACAAGTTCAATGTTTCAAACGTAAGTATAATTTATATTACCATAATTGCGTTTAATACAATATTGTTCCCTTTATATAATTTTTATAGCCGAGTGTAAAATTAATGCGGATTGTCCTTATGACAAGGCTTGTATCAATGAAAACTGTGTCAACCCTTGCACCTACGGCAATGTTCGCTGCGGCATTAATGCTATGTGTGAACCACAAAATCATCAAGCTGTATGTGTTTGTCCAGCTGGCACTCAAGGCAATCCTTTCGTATCCTGCATAACCGGACACTGTCAATACAACGAAGATTGTGCTGATCATGAGGCCTGCGATAGATTAAATCGCGTTTGCCGTCCTGTTTGTGATGAAGACACATGTGCCGTCAACGCTATTTGCTTAGCTAGACATCATCAACCTCAGTGTCAATGTCGCTCTGGATACACAGGAAATCCTTACCAGGACTGTGTACTACCAAAACAACCACCAGCTGTGAAACCAAAACCAGAATGTACGCAAGATGCTGATTGCCCAACACAATTGGCTTGCATCAACCAGAGATGTTCAAATCCATGTGCAACACCACATGTCTGTACACCACAACAAACCTGCACTGTCTTAGATACTTTACCGCTTCGCACCATGATTTGTAAATGTCCCAGTGACACCATAACTGATACCTCGGGCAATTGCGTAGCTATAAGACATGACGTTGTTGCTGGTTGCCAGAATAATCAAGAATGTGCTAATACTGAAGTATGTCAAAGAGGTTCGTGCATTGATGCCTGCCGCTTGGAAAGATGTGGCGTTAATGCCCAGTGTTTGTCTAGAGACCACTATGCTCAGTGTACTTGTCCAAAGGGTTATACCGGTAATCCACGTGTCGAGTGTAGATTTGTGGCCATAGAGCAACCTAAAATACCTACAGCTGAATGTATAAATAACGATGATTGTCCCAATGACAAGACATGTCGCAATGAGCGTTGCGTTAACCCTTGCGCTGAAGAACCCTGCGGACGTGGAGCTTATTGCCATGTCCAACACAGAGAAGCAGTTTGTCGCTGTCCACCTGGATATTCCGGTGATGCCAGACAAGTCTGCATACCACGTAAGTATTACAATGAAATATTTTTGCGGTAATTAGTTTAACCTTTCTGATTTGCTTCTTAGCTCGTGACGTCATTACTGTTGGCTGCAAATCCAATTCGGATTGTCAACTAACGGAGTCTTGTGTCAATGACCAATGTGTAAATCCTTGCAATTGTGGTCCCAATGCCGAGTGTCAAGTACGCAACCATCATCCTATTTGCTACTGTAAACCTGGTTTCTCTGGTAATGCCCAGTATGGCTGCATTCAAATCGGATGCCAATCGGACGATGAATGTTCTACAGATCAACAATGTGTTAACCGAGAATGTGTGAATCCTTGTTTGATTAGCGATCCTTGTGCTTTGAATGCTGAATGTTATGGTCGCAACCACAGAGCTACCTGCCGTTGCCCAGTTGGTATGCAAGGCGATCCATTCGTTCGTTGTATTCGCGTGGAATGTAATTCAGATTACGATTGTGCCTCAAATCAAGCCTGTGTCAACAACTTGTGTATTAATCCTTGTCGCGACCAGGATAATCCTTGTGCCCAAAATGCTTTATGCCAAGCTTTACAACATCGTGCCGTTTGCAGATGTCCTGACCATTTACCTTTAGGTAATCCTTATGCTTATTGTGAGCGCCGACAAGAGGAACCCGTTTGCCGAGATGATGGCGATTGTCCTAGTGGCCTGGCCTGTATTGATGTCAAATGCCAGAATCCTTGTACGGAATTATCACCATGCGCTCCTTCTGCTAAATGTAGCGTTTTGGACAGCGTTCCTGTGCGCACCATGGTATGTGAATGCCCATCATCATATGTTCCTGATGCCAGAGGTGAATGCAAACAATTGGTATTACAAAGTCCTGGATGTGTAGCGGATTCCGACTGCTCTGACCAAGAGGCCTGCATCAACAGACAATGTCGCAATCCTTGCAACTGCGGAACGAATGCAGTGTGCCAAATATCCAATCACCGTGCCATTTGCTCTTGTCAAGATGGCTTCGAAGGCAATCCATACACTTCCTGTAGATCTATTGGCTGTCGTGTCGACAGTGAATGCGACTCCGGCAAGGCTTGTGTTAACAACAATTGTATTAATCCTTGTTTGGTAAATGATCCTTGCGGTATTAATGCTGAGTGTTATGTACAATCCAACAGAGCTCAATGCAGATGTAAGAGTGGTTATAGAGGCAATGCTTACGAAAGATGCCGTGTAATTGGTTGTCAATCGAATAACGATTGTCCTTCCGATAAATTCTGTATGAACGAACAATGTGTTAATCCTTGTGTCTATCAAAATACATGCTCTTCCAGAGCTGAATGTAGACCTCAAAATCACTTAGCTGTATGCCGCTGTCCTGCAGGATTCTTGGGTAATCCTTATGTGGACTGTAGACCGGAACCACAACCCACATGTCGTCTAGATACGGATTGTCCTTCTCGCTTGGCTTGCATTAATGACGAATGTGTAGATCCTTGCTTAGTTTTGGAACCTTGCAACAGACCATCTCAATGCGTGGTAACACCAACATCACCAGTCAGAACAATGATTTGTGTATGTCCCGATGGTTACATAAGTAGTGGCAGTGGTACTTGCAAACCTACAAAAACGGTCATTGAAGTAGGTGGTTGCGTTGCTGACTCAGATTGTCCTGCTGACAAGTCTTGTCTAAATGGTGTATGTCGCGATCCTTGCAATTGTGGTATCAACGCCGAATGCCGCATTAAAGATCACAAACCTGTTTGCACATGTCGTCAAGGCTACGAAGGCAATCCAGAATTCGAATGCTCAAAGGTGGAATGTTCTATCAATTCAGATTGTCCTTCCACACACACTTGCCGCAATCAATTATGTGTACCAGCTTGTCAAGGTGAACAGTGTGGTGTAAACGCTCAGTGCTTGGCCGTCGATCATCGCGCCGTATGTGAATGTATACCAGGCTTTAGAGGAAACGCTCGTGTATCCTGTAAAACTTTGGGTTGTCGCGTCGATGATGAATGTCCCACTAGCAAGGCTTGTGTCAACGGTAAATGTGAAAATCCATGTGATACTACGGCAGCCTGTGCTATTGACGAAGTTTGCAAAGTATACCAACATAAGCCGCAATGTGCTTGTCCACCTAACACAATAGCCCGACGCAACGGTTGCGAACCTGTACGTGATATACCCATTTGCCAATATGATGGCGATTGTCCAAGTCAAACAGCTTGTATTCGCGGTGAATGTATCAATCCTTGCAATGCCACCCAGCCTTGCGGAGTCAATGCTGAATGTCGTGTTTTAGATACGGTTCCCGTTAGAACCATGATCTGTGAATGCTTGGAAGGTTATACCGGAAATGCTGCTGTCCAGTGTGATAAACGTTCATTGTGTGTTATTGAAAAGGGCTTTGTACGTGACATAGACGGCCAATGTGTATGCCCTCCAGGCACTGCTCTCGATGTCTATGAATACTGTACTCCCTGCTCGCCGCAACAAGGCTTTAAGATCGACGAGTCCGGCCATTGCGTTTGTGCTTTGGAAAGAGGTTTTGTTATAGACGAGAGAGGACGCTGTATTTGCCCTACCGATCATGGCTATCGCCTAACAAATAGTGGCGAATGTATACCCGAAGACAATCCCGAATGTAACACCAATGATGACTGTGCCGACAACCGCTACTGTAACACAGAAACCAAAACATGTGAAGACCCATGTTTGCTTAAGACTTGTGGCATTAATGCTTTCTGTAACGCCATAAACCATCGCGCCCAATGTCAGTGCATTACCGGCTACACTGGCAACCCAGACACGATATGTAATCACACCAACTTCCGTACAGACTTCCCAAGACCAGATATGGTAGTCAGCTGTTTAGCTGATGGCGTTCAGGTGGAAATACACATTACCGAACCTGGCTTCAATGGTGTGCTCTACGTTAAGGGTCACAGCAAGGATGAAGAATGTCGTCGTGTTGTCAACTTGGCTGGCGAAACAGTACCACGCACCGAAATATTCCGTGTACACTTTGGCAGCTGTGGCATGCAAGCCGTTAAGGATATTGCCAGCTTCGTGTTGGTCATACAGAAACATCCTAAACTGGTGACTTACAAGGCTCAAGCTTATAACATCAAGTGTGTCTATCAAACAGGCGAAAAGAATGTGACCTTAGGATTTAATGTATCCATGTTGACAACAGCCGGCACTATTGCAAATACCGGTCCACCACCTATTTGTCAAATGAGAATCATAACACACGAGGGCGAAGAAATTAACTCGGCTGAAATTGGTGATAACCTTAAATTACAAGTTGATGTTGAACCAGCCAGTAAGTATTTGTTTATTTTTTTTTAAAAACTATGATTTATTTTTTTATTAAAATTTATTTTTTAGCTATTTATGGAGGCTTTGCACGCTCATGTATTGCCAAGACCATGGAGGATAATATTGAAAACGAGTATATAGTCACAGATGAAAACGGTTGTGCCACTGATCCTTCCATTTTCGGTGAATGGGAATATAATCCAGATACTAATAGCTTGTTGGCCAACTTCAATGCCTTCAAATTCCCCTCATCCGACAATATACGCTTCCAATGTAATATAAGAGTTTGCTTCGGCAAATGTCAACCCGTTAATTGCCGTGGCTACAATGCTTTCGGTCGCCGAAGACGTCGTGCTATTGCTGACAATTCTACCGATGATGCCACCGCTATAGCTACCAACACGGGTATGGAAGGACAGTTAAGAGAAGAAATAACCATCTCGTCCAATGCCATATTGACATTTGAAAAGAGAACAACAACGGGAGCTAATGATGCCAATAGTAAGTGGAAAAGTTTTAGATAAATAAGGGACATTTAATTAATATGATTCATTTCTGTTTTAGTTAAACCGGCCGCTCAAAGAGTGGAAGATATTTGTGTATCTATGGTGGGTCTTATCATAGCTTTGGTTATAACTGCCCTATTGGCATTGGTTGCTGTGGCCGTGGCTGTATCCTGCTGGCTAATGGCCTATCGCAGAAGACCCAAGACCTTAGCGCCTTTGCCCCATCCACCAGAGTTCCCCAATCCCTTGTTTACCAACCCCGAAGCAGTGCCAGAACCCACACCAGACTACTTATCGTAAGATATAAAAACCTATATGTGAAAATTTTAAAATTAAAAGACAAAAAAAACCTAGAAATTTAAGAATATTAAAAAAATTTAAGAATTGTAAAAAATACCAAGTGCAAAAAGGTTTCAAACAAATTTATAAAAAAAAATGACTTAAACGAAAAACCTTTAAGGTTTAAAAACACGGATAAAGAAAAACAAAAGTATTTTAAAAATCAACTAAAAAAGTAAATGAAACTAAAATAATTTTTGTATAAAATTTTTGGAAATTTAAACATTTTTATTTAATAATCTAAGGAAATATTTTTAGTATATAAATATAGAATTCTTAAAAAAAAAACTAACATGAGAATTTCAAATAGTTTTTGCACAAAACGTAAAAGTAACAGCGTTTCTTTAATTGTATAGTATTTAAAAAAAAAAACAAAACAAATTTTAATTTATAATAAAAGTAGTTTAATTTTCAACTGAAAAAAAAATAATTTAAAAAACGAAACAAAACTGCCAAAGTTAAATAACCAACACTGCTTATAAGTTACAAATATATAAAGAATGAAAAAGGGCACAAAGTTTAAGAAACGCTGTTTACTTTAAAAACACTCTAGCCACACTCAACACACATAAACACATGTACGTTTAAGAAAAACTATTCTGAAATTCTCGTACTAACGACAACTTCTTCATTAGTCAAGTTTTCTTTAGTTTTGCTTAATTTTTTTTTTTGTTTTGTTTCTATTATTGCATTATTAAATATTTAGAACTAGAATTGCCCCCTGGATAATGGGGGTAATACAGTTTACTTTTGTATATAGCACAGGATTTAGACAAGCACACATACATAGATATCTAGAGAAACACACACTTCAACACATACTTTTACAGCGGTAGAATAATGCTGAAAACAAACTTTTTTTAAACTGCCAATTAAACAATGCATATATTTGGAAAATACTCCTAATAACTCCTTCTCCCCTTTGTTTTAGTCCCTATTTTTTTATAACCAGAATATATAATGAAAGCTATAGCCATTTTCATATGGTATAACTGCTAAGAGATTTTGTCAAAAAGATTTTCTAATTATGTTTTTCTAAATTCTTTTTTAAGAGAATTTTTTAAAAAACTAAAAAATTTGTTTTTGATATTTAGATTCAGCCATCTTCCAAACGAAATTTTCCAAAAACAAAAAGGTACTTCACACTTTTAAAACACACCAAAACACACACACACTGATTTCAAAGAAAATCCTTAAACAAAATCTTCTGCCTCGAAAGGAACTGGTTAAGAAAAACTGCAAATTTACTTTTTTTACAATTTATTTATAATAATTTTTAAGGTTATGTAAATTATTTTTTTTTTATATAAATGACTAATGGAGGATTTGATATATTAATATTTTTTTTAATTAACTTAATAAATAGTTGTTTTATTTAAAGATTTCCCTGAAAATAAAAGCAACAAAAATAACTTGTTTTGCTAAATAATAATTTTATGCTTTAAATATATATAAAAGATGTTTAACATTTTGATCAGGAAAACATTCCAATGTCTTCCTATTTTCTACTTTAACTCAAAATAAAGTCCCACACATGATCAAAATGTTTTAAATTAAAAAAAAAAATGTGATTTTTAAAAAGCATATTAACATAAAATATACGAAAATTACAAAATTGGCTTCCACTATTTTTCAAAAATTTTAAGCAAAATTTCGATCAATTTAAGGAAAAACTAATTTATTAAATTAATAATTTTTCTTAAAGCAGCGAAACTTTATAAAAAAAAGATAAAATTATTAAGTTTTATAAAGTAGATTTTTCCTTAAATTTTCTAAAAATTTTGCAAAATTTCCAAAACATTTAAGAAATAAAAAAACCCCCTAAAAAAAAACTAAAAACTTAAAAACACACAATGTATAGTCACTATTTTAAGTCAATTTCCTAATATAATTTTTAAAAAGAAAAAATTTAAACAAAAAAAAATAAACAATATTTAATTATAGGAACCACGAACGACTAAAACGTTATTTCTAAATAATTAAAAAAAAATTCTTTAATTATTTTTCGTTTTTTTGTTTAACTCAACTATAGTTGTAAATACTAGTTTTTATTCAGAAAAACGTTTTAGAAAAAAAAAAATAAAAATAAAATGCAAATTTTATATTTAATAAATAAGTTTATTTATCTCTTTATCTATCTTATTTTGTATATTAAACCATATTCCTATATTGTTTTTAACAATTCAAGTTTTTTTATTTTATTTTCTAATTTACTAATAAATATACTCCCCCCCCCCCCCCCCCTATAGTTTCGTCTGCCAGGGCTTTTGTTTAAATTAAAAAAAAAATATTTTCTTAAAAAAGTCTCAATTTAAAAAAAAAAAAACAATAATAATTTTGATTACATAGTTTTTCATCTACTTTTAAAAACATACTTTTCTTTTTCTTTTTTTTTTAATTTTTAAATTAACGAATTTTAAATGCAATTAAATAATCATACTTTTTGCACTGGCATTTTATTATTTTCTTTTTAAATTAAATTAAAACACAAAAATAAAAACTCTGTATATTAAATAGTTAAATTTAATTTAAAAAAGAAAACCTGTATAAAAACGAAATTATATTAATAATATTAATAAATGCATAAATAAATTAAAACTAATATTAAATAAAAAAATCAATAAATAAAATAAAAAATATAAAAAACCCAAACTTCTTATTATTTAGAAAACAAAAAAAACTTAACCCGACAATCTTGGACAAAAGTTGTCCTAAACTAAATTAAATAAATCTATTGGACAATCCTGAAATGTATATACATATAAAATTCTAACGTTACTGACTGACTGATTCATCATCGCACAGCCTAAACGGCTGAAGGTAAAGAGCTGAAATTTGGACACCCACCAAATAGATCCACTAAGACCGTATTCAAATGTTTATTCAAACACAATTTAGATAACATTTTTAGATTTAGAAACACTAAATATGCTAATGGGGTGTTATTTGGAACCCCGGTACCAAGTGATATTTTTTGGTACTTTTTCATTCTCCAACTGAAATTAATAATAAAGGGACTTTTCGGTACTTTTTTGTTCTACACAGGTACTTTTTAAAGTTTTCTTTAAAATTATAAACATGAAATTAAGCATGCAGAACCCGGAGTAAATGAGAATCTATAAAGCAGGACTTTTTGGTACTTTTTCGTTCTTCAGCTGTTACTTTTTAAGTTTTCTATTATAGTGAACCTAGAAACAATCAGGGACTTGAAAGAATGAAAGTCTAAACTGGAGTATTTTCTGGCACCTTTTCGTTCTTTAACTGGTATTTTTTTAATTTTCTATAATATTTAACTTCGAATCATGAAATTAAATAAAAAAGGTCTTTTGGTACTTTTTCGTACTTCAACAATAATAATATTTTGTTTATTCCATTACGATGAGGGTAGCGAAGCACACTGGGTATAGCTAGTTATGTATAAAACACTCGATTCAAGTACGGATCCCTCAAGTTTAAAAAATATAATTTTAATGTTTGGGGTCAGAGTTAACACAAAATACGTACATATTATGTACGTTATTATTTCACCTAGGCCCCATACAACTGAACCCCCCGAATTTGGCTTTCCAGCTCATAATTATGTTTAATATACTCGTAACTCGACAATAAACGGCACAACTAAGTTTTATACTATCCTCGATGACCTTGATGAATTTTGTAATGATCGGGACTCATTTGACCCTATACCCCATACAAAGCCTTCTACAGAAAATCACTTAAATGTCCACAATTCGCCTTAAAGACTAATTTTATCTAAAATTAAATCCATTCACTATATTCTATTCCCATAAAACACCCACTTCCTTTCACAATATGTAGATTTTCAAAAATGAATTGCTTAAATATATCGGTGGCAAGGTGCTTTACACCTGCTGTGTTGGCCTTATTTCACGGTGTTACATTTTCCACCGCAGGCTGAATTGATTAGACGACTCACCACCGCCCCTTTGTGCTTTTTACAAGCCGGTGGCAGTTCTGCCGATCCATTACAAGCAATTTACTCAGGTTTACAACCGTTTCCGTTTACAACCACGCAGATGGGATGGCCTGTGTTGTGGGGTATCTGTTGACTTCGGAACGGCAAACTTATCCAGAATTATAGACTCTACCGTCCATTCTCTCCCCGCAAATTTTGGTTTAAATCACAACCACAACGTGCACCCCGAAGGGACGTCTCCAATAACCGGTGCAAGACAAAGTCCAAAACTCTGCCCTGAGGACTTTGTTCTTACTCAAAGAGAACATACTGTGGTTAATCGGGTATGAACAGAGTAAACCCTCAACATTTCTAGACAAGGAAGGAAAATTCAATGTTATCACTTTTATATTATACCCTTTATCCATCACCATTCAACCCAACACACTTCTCATTCATTCGATACACCTTAGAAAACAACATCCGACATACTCACTCTGGCTATACGAGCGGGTAATTTCCGTATACCCCTACATTTATCCTGTATCATCTACACTTAACACCAACTCGTTCCAACGCACAGTTAATCCTCTGTGGTATATCTGTTGACATCGGCAACAGCACCGAACTTATCCAGAATTATAGACTTTACCGTGCATCAGTCTTTTAACCGACATTCTCGATGTCACCACGAGCATCCCGAATCGATCTCCCCATTAACGGGGACAAAACAAAGTCCGAAACACTGCAATGCGAGCTCTCGGTTCTCGTTGTAACAGATTATGTGGTTCTCTGTTAAGACCCCATGTCAATTCATTCCATGGAAAGGCCGAGGATACAATCTCGACTGCTAGCTATAACTGGCTAAGAAATACAATCCGACGAGATAAATTCTTCGGCTCTTGGTCGGCTAACTACTATCGATAATATAATACGACAATATAATACAAATGACTTTCATCGGCTAACTATGACTAGCTAAAGGATATAATCCGTCAAGATAAAAAATAGTCTATTTAATGAATATATACAGAATTTTAAACGTATGTAAAAAATTATGGGATTTCTGGTCCAGAATTGACTTTCATATTGTAGTTTATTTATATCATATAGTTTTTAGGGAGGAATATAAGAAAATAATTATTTTTCATAACTTTATTTAAATTAACGGAATTTTTTGCAATAAACCCCACAATGGTTACATTAAAAGCTTTTACTAGAAAGAGCAGAAAAGTTTTTTATATCAAGACTCTTTAAGCAGAGACGGCATAGTTAGAATTATAAATTTAACAAAAAAATTAACTATAAATAGTTATATATAAATCAGTCCCAACTCATTATAAAAATTTAAACAAATTATATTGATTGATATCTGTAATGCAATGAAGAATTTCGGTGGATTTAAAGATTTTTCTATTTATTTAAAAAGGCTTTTCAAAGTTTTAAAGAATATATCTACACATAGGAATCATCCTAAGGAAAATAATGGTTATACTGAGAAACTATTGTAATCATATGCAACTTCCCATCCCTGTCACTTTTGACTTTTGCAACCGGAGATATTTAGAGAGTAAAAAAAACAGACAAATGATTAAGTTGACAATTATATCGTCACTTAAACTACAACAACTACAAAAGCAAAACAAATGTGATCTGAATGAATGAAGTAGTAGATATTTTATCTTAAGTGTGAGAGAACATACTAAGATTACAACGTAATGTAAGCTCCACTGACAAGTAGATTGATTAAATGAAATTTAAATCATATACAAAAAAGAAACGTTATCAGTAAAATGCTAAAAGAAAGATAAAGTATTTAAGAATAATAATGCACAAAATATTTAATATGAACGGGAATGGTAAAGGTTTATTTTCAGTTAGTAGAACGAAAATCTTTAAACTAGAACAGTTATTTTTTCCCCTTAGATTAAAGTTACTTTTCACCCACCACTGCAAAAGAAAATAGAAAATAAAAAGTAAAAGCTGAGCTTAAGTAAATTGAGCAAAAGACATTTTTCAAGTGTTTTTGCAAATACATATCTCAATAATACAGTGCATGCTATTTGTGTAAATGAAAGACAATATATTGTGAACTAATAATCTATATCTTATGGGTGCACCTAAGATAAACTATCTACTAAAGGATATTATGGACAATGCTGGAGAATTAGGTAAGTTAATAAACCGATAGTTACAGACTAAATTCAATTTCAATGGATGGTTGTACTACATCGACAGCAAAGTTGGACAAACTGATGTCGCTGATAAGACTTTGACTTGAATCATAAACGTTGACGATCAAATGGTAATGTATTTCCTTCTACTCAACTTCATTCTGGATAACTTCTTTCTACAAAATGTCTTAAACTTTGAAAAAGCTCAATCTCTATCAAAAGCGTTCAAAATATGTAGTACTTCCACAATAATTTAACATAATCACGGTATCTTAGTCACCCCTGTTCTGCATTTCGATTACGTTTCTGCATTCAGTTATGCTATGATCGAAAATAAGTATTCCAACAAAAAATGGATTCGTAAAATAAAGACATGCCCCCCGGGGGCATGTTACCTTGATGAAAGACCCCATCTTGGTATTATTACAATCCCGGGCAAAAGAGGTGCTTCTAGTACCACCGGGACTATAAACTGGTGATGATCAAATGTATCCTCGGCCTTTCCTTGGAATGATTTGACATGGGGTCAAACTAGAGAACCACATAATCTGGTACCATGGCAACCCGTAGCCCACAGGCAAAGTTTCGGACTTTGTCTTGCGCCAGTTATTGGAGAAGTCGCGGGAAGACAATGAATAATTCGGGATAAGTTCGGTGATTTTGAAGAAGACAACAGATCCCTCACAGATGAGTGACTATGAAACTTAACATTGGATACAAGATACAGGCATGGATGTAGGGTATATAGATATTACGTACCTGTATACCTAGAGTGAATGAGTCAGATGTTATTCTCTATGAGTGTATCGAATGAATGAGAAGTGTGCTGGATTGAATGGTGATGGATGAAAGGTATCTTATACTATTGATACTATTGAATTTTCCATCCTTGTCCAGGTATGTTGAGGGATTACATTGTTCATAGCAGATTTACCACAGTGTGTTTTCTGTGAGTAAGAACGGGTCCTCGACTTATATGATGGATTAGTGTTACGGTCTACTGAAAACGTCTCTAGGTGCTGTTGTCGACTCATCAGAGGCCATCCCATCTGCGTGGTTGTAAATGGAAGTCATGTTTTTGCATCTCGAAAGTTAAGCAACGGGGCTGCAATGGTCAGAGATTTGATAGCTTGAGTACTTGAGTAAAATGCTTGTAAATGGACCGACAAAATTTGCCACCGTGTAAGAAACCCAAAGGGCGTCTAGTCAGCTCACCCGTCGATTGAAAAAGTACCATAAAAGTACATAAAGTATTTCGACATCTTGATCGATTATGGCATTTCGGATGAATTTCGCTGATGAATTTTCATAGTCCCAGATCCCTCACAGATGAGTGACTATGAAACTTAACATTGGATACAAGATACAGGCATGGATGTAGGGTATATAGATATTACGTACCTGTATACCTAGAGTGAATGAGTCAGATGTTATTCTCTATGAGTGTATCGAATGAATGAGAAGTGTGCTGGATTGAATGGTGATGGATGAAAGGTATCTTATACTATTGATACTATTGAATTTTCCATCCTTGTCCAGGTATGTTGAGGGATTACATTGTTCATAGCAGATTTACCACAGTGTGTTTTCTGTGAGTAAGAACGGGTCCTCGACTTATATGATGGATTAGTGTTACGGTCTACTGAAAACGTCTCTAGGTGCTGTTGTCGACTCATCAGAGGCCATCCCATCTGCGTGGTTGTAAATGGAAGTCATGTTTTTGCATCTCGAAAGTTAAGCAACGGGGCTGCAATGGTCAGAGATTTGATAGCTTGAGTACTTGAGTAAAATGCTTGTAAATGGACCGACAAAATTTGCCACCGTGTAAGAAACCCAAAGGGCGTCTAGTCAGCTCACCCGTCGATTGAAAAAGTACCATAAAAGTACATAAAGTATTTCGACATCTTGATCGATTATGGCATTTCGGATGAATTTCGCTGATGAATTTTCATAGTCGAATTTTATGACATTCTTCTTTTGGCCTATAAATGTTGCCTTTCAAAGTTATGTCATGTCATACATGTCGCCGGTCAAGTGAGAATACTTGTAACATATGTAGGACCCTATGAAATAAAATGAACTCCATTCGATCCGTATCGATCTCAGCTAAGTAGTGATAACTTCTATAGGAATTGTTATTATAATGATGGAGACGTTTACTAATCTTATCTGAACTTGTCTAGGTCTGGAAACTAAAGGCATGTTAGATGCGTTGCGCTTTCATATAATGACCTCTGTAGGGCTTTTCATAATAAAGACAATTATTACGGGTAATCACAAAGTGACATTTATAGATCCAAGTATTTAGCCGCATTCTGAAAGCTTCCTCTAAGAATCAAATTGTAATTTAGAACTTTTAAATAAATCGAGATGTTTAATTTGATATAATCTTCCATTAAATTTTATATCCCCCACTTTTAAACACATATTCCCTACTGTAGTGTGAAATAACAGTATAGAATTTAATATACAATATTTAAAATAAAGCAACAACAACAAAACTACAATACAATAACAATAAATAAAAGTATCTACACATTATTATAAAATTATCTTGCACATTTAGTTTGAAAATACAATTGTTCTAAAAAAATGTTTAAACGATATTCTCGTATTATAGATCAGTTGACATTTGACAGCGCGTGTTAAAGCACGTTCCGTAGAAATAATATAAAATATATAAAACGAAAACGAGTAAAAAATTTAATTAAACATAAAGAAGTAAATTAAAGTTAAAATAAAACAAAATATTTAAATGCATTAAAAAAATTAAAACAATTATACGTTAATAAAAAAGTGTTGAAATTCTCCTAACTTCAAATTTTGATAAAAATTAAACAAAAAAAAATTTTAATTAAAATTTTTAAATTAAAAAAAACACATGCAATAAATTAACAATCAAAACAATTGTTTGTCGATCATCTGTTTGCAAAAGTTTTTTTCTAATTACGTGTATTTCTTCCTTTATTTATTGTTGTTTATTTTCAAATATTCCGATACAAATGAAAGTTGTTTGTTCTGAACAACAACAACAACAAAAATACCTATACAATACTTTATTAGTAGTTGTATTATTTAATTCCGTATAAAAACTTGCATATAATAAACACATGTATTGTATTAAAAAAAATTTAATTTTCACCCATAATTCAAGTAATAAAAAAACATTTTATAAACAACCGCTCATAAACAAACATATAAAATTGCACAATTATATTAATATTATATTACTTCCTAAGCTGGTTAAATTAAATAAAATTTATGGAAACAAATTTAATAATTTGCAAAAGAAAACAACTTTTAAGTACTAAAACATATTTAAGAAAGTCATATAAAATGAATATAAAATCAATCATAAAATTTTAAACACACTAATTAAATAATTTAATTATTAGAGATTATTGCATAGAATAACAATGTATGGAAAAATTGTTCACTTTTCAATACAAACTCTTGTCTAAAGATTTCTAGTCTATTTCTATTACACATGATTTGCATAATCGTAAGAAATAATTGTGTAAAAAATGGAATAATTTATAACAATTTTATTTAAATTCTTCCTGTCTTTCTTTAAAATTACATACTAATTTATACGAAATAGTTGATTGTAAACAACTAGAAACCTACAATACCCAACTAGTTACAGAAAATTCAAAAACTGAGATAAACAACATAGGCCAATAAAATTTTAAAAAGTTCGAAACAAAAAGCAAAGGATTGAGCTCCATTGAACGCGTATGTGGACTTTACCACATCAGTTTTGAAAACACATCAAAAAAATCGATATATGTATACGTTAAAAAATAAACAGATATCTGGTCATTTTTCGAAATTTGATTCTTTTTATATCATTTTCATGCCGTATTGGGCATTTAAAGGGGAAAAAATCGTACTTATTTTTAGACTCACCATCAAAACAAATGGGGGTATATTGTTTTTGTCATTCCGAAATATTGGTCATAGACCCACAAAAGTATATACGTATATTCTGAGTCCTTATTAAATTCTAGCCATGTCCGTCCGTCTATCTATTAAAAGCATGATAGAGTCCGAACGGAAGGAGTTAGAAATTTTACAATAATATTCCCTAAAGATAAGGTTTGTTTGGTATTGAAAATGGACAATATCGGTACATGTTTTCGCATAGTCCCTATACAAGTGGCCCACCGAAAAGTAGCTTTAACAGCCATAACTGCAATAGGAAAGTATAGTCGGACATGACCCACTATAACATACCCTACACCATGGATATATTCTAATTTATTTTTCATAGAGAAACTTTTATGATGAATTTTACCTTAATTCCGATGTATTTAAGCAATTTATTAATGAAAAACTAAATTTCTAAAAGAGGCTTTATATGGGAGTCCTCAAGAAATTGGGAAGAGGGATGTATTTCTATATAAAGGTTAGTTTTGCTTAATTTCATCGCGATATTAATGCTTATAAGTACATTTTAGGACGTTTAAAATATTTTAAAGAGGGATTTGTATGGGGGCTAGGGTCAAACGAGGGCCGATCATTATAAAAATTGGCATGGTCATATATGCCTATATAAAACTTAGTTGTGCCAATTTTGAGGTGAGATAGTAGTATATTTGACGTAGTTATGAGTTAAAAACTCAAAATCGGAAGGTAAGGTTGTATGGGGGGCTAGGTAAAATAATGGACCGATTTCAACCATTTTCAATTGGCATCGTCCTTGTGCAGAAAAACTCGATTGGACCATCCAATCAAAATATCTTGAAAATTATGGCCTGTAGCTTGCGCACAAGGTTTACATGCACAGCCGGATAGATCGACTCAGAAAGTGATTCTGAGTCGATCGGTATACTTTAAGGTGGGTATGACCCATATTTTTATGCGTTACAAACATCAGCACAAACGTATAATACCCTCCCCACTATACTGGTGTAGAGTATAAAAATACAAGTATGGATATGAAATTTGACATAAATAAGTTTCATATGAGACAAAATTTATGAGAATCGGTTCATAATTTACCCTTCTTCCCATATAACCCTCTTCAGAAAATTACTTGAAAGCTTATTACTGACCTAAAAATACTAGCATAGCGATGAAATTCGAAATATGTAAGTTTCTTATGACCCAAAATCTCTCTACCAAATTTTATGAGGATCGATCCATAATTGATCCAACTCCCCATATAAGAACGTCTTCTGAAAATGACTTCAACTCTCATTACTGGCTTAAAAATATAACAATGGAATTCGACATAAGTAAGTTTCTTACGTGCCCAAATGTCTCTACCAAATTTTATGAGGATCGGTTCATAATTGACCCTACCCCCATATAAATAGAAAATTACTTTAACTCTCATTATTGGCTTATAAATACGAGTGTAGCGATGAAATTCGACACAGAAAAGTTCTGTGTGAAACAAAATCTCTCTATAAAATTGTATGAGGATCGGTTCAAAATTGGCCCTAATCTCCATATAAGGTCCCCTTCAGAAAATTATTTTAACGCCCATTGCTGTCATAAAAATAGGAGTACTGTTATGAAATTCGGCATTTATAAGAACTTAAATCTTGCTACCGAATATAATGCGGAATGGACCCGTAACTCACCCTACCCTCCAGAAAATTACTAATTAAAATCAACCAAATATCAACCAAAATCGAACTACCAAATTTTACGACATTCATTCTATAGTTGACCATACCGCCCATATATTGTTTAAAAATTGGACAAAAATATTTTGTTTTTAAAAATTAATTTCTGTTGATTCGAAAGAGCTATGTCCATAATTGACATAAACCCTATTCCAAATATCAGCCTAATGTTTATAAGCGAGCATTCAGGCATAGATCATAGACTCTCTATATTCCCTGTCCACGATAGGCATTGTCTCTCTTGATTTCTGTAGAGCTCGGTCCATAATTGATACCCATATATATATATATAAATGTTTTGATGGTGGGTATATTGCCTTACACTTAAGCATTTCTAAAGGAAACTGCTGATTTTCGTAATGATCGGGCCACTTAACCCAAACCCCCATTCAAAATCCCCTTTAAAAAATTACCTGAAAGTCAATAATTCCGCTATTAACACTAATCTCACGATGAATTGTATATAATCATAAATTCCCTAATGCCCGACTATACATTGTTAATTGTTTTTTATTAAAGAATTTTAAGGATAAATTACTTTCATCAAGTAACTTAAGAAAAACCCAAAACTGCTCACCTAATATCGACATTCATATACTAAAAAAAAAACTCCCAAAAAATCATCACCCACCAACAATGTCTCCAACAAGTCTGTCTTTCCTTACCTCACACAATTCATTATTTAATTCAACACAACAAGATCAAATCAATAAAATATTCTAAAAACGAAAAAAATGCAATAAATTATAAAAAAAAACTTAAAATAACCCTTAACTTAATTAAGTGCAATTAGTTGTAACCGTTTATAATTAAAAAATTCTATAAAAATGTGTAAATTATAAAAAATAACACAAAAAAAAAATTATTTGCATATTCATTTTGTATTTAAAAAATTAAATGAAATTATTAAATAAAATATTCGTGTCTGGCGAAATATTAAAATAAAATTAATTAATAATAAACAAAAAAAATTAAATGATTAATGTGGACCAGCAAAAGGTCAAACTAAGCAAACCAAATACCATACAGTGGGGCAAACAAAAAACAAATGCAATGTGTCATCAAGACACACAATGTTATAAACACGCAAAATTAGAACAATTTTAAAAACAATTAAATTTTTTATTAGATAAACTAAAACACAATAAAAGAGAATAAAATATTTAATGAAAAATTTATAAAACATTCAACAAAATAATTAAAAGAAATTTTAAAATTGTTTATAATTAAATATTACAAAAAATGTTTAGATAAAAATGAAAACTAACAAATAATAAAAGTTATAAAAACTATAACAAACACCCACCAACTGCAATAATAAAACCAAATATAAAAGGGACCAAGAAAAAGACTGTAAATCCAACAAACGTGTAACCCACCCAACAACAACAACAATGGAAATGAAACCTAGTGATAAACCCACCACAAGCAAAGCAGCACAATTGGGAAGTTCACAGAGCCCAGTATCACCAACATTTTCGAAGACCGTATCATCACCGATTGCTCTCATGAATATGGGCTCCAAATCACCATCGGCAGCATCGTCAACCACCAACACCCCCACACTCGGACAAATTGGTAAACAGGGATCGATGAATTTTCGACACAGTTATCTATACGACAGTGATGCTGATGATCAGACATTTCTATTACGCACCCCCTCAATACGTTCTCATAAATTCATTATAATACCAGCCACCTCAACTATGGTACAAGATAAAAAATTTCCAACTGCTTTGTCAACGACATCATTGACATCTCTTCAAAAATTACCCCTACGATCGCCAACAAATCAAAATCTTAGTGAATTAATCGGCACACCATCAACGCCAACCCCTTCAACACCATCACCGAAAGCTTCGGTAAACAAATTTCGTGCACAACCATCAACAACTACAACATCTACATCACCATCGTTATTGCCTCGGTCGGATGTCATTCATCATCAGTTAAATGTGCCCGAAACGAGGAGAGTAAAACCAACAACATCTAATGTCAACACAAGTGTTAAATTTACAATTGAGGATTATGAATCTGATAACGCCACTGATGCAACAATGACAGCAACAACAGCAGCAGCAGTCACTAGAACAAATGCCCCAACAACAATGGTCACATCATCCACATCTACATTGGATGCATTGTATTCGTCTAACATTCCTGCAATCACATCAATTTATTCTGCCAGCAACAACAGCAATTTCACACTTCCATCACAATCAACATCAACACAATTATTGTTGTCATCTCCATCATCCACCACATCAGTCTCACCAGCATCATCGGCTCTCTCTAGAACCCAACCATCGCCCAGTGTGCGACCTGTCTCAGCTCTGTTAGTTTCATCATCATCAACTAATAATAATTTTGCCAGTGGCATTGCCAGTGCCAACGGTACTCCATCACTGGGAATTGGTTTGCGTCCACGTAACGATCGTAACAGCAGCATGCGTTCTGTGGTATCAGGTAAGTAGTTATTTAGTGTGAATCAAAATTTTGAAAATATTAAAGAGGTTTATTATTATTTTTTTCATAGTTTGAAAAAATTATTTAATTTAATTTGTATCAATTGTAAAAATTTGTAACTGTTGAGATTTAATCATATTGCACAGTGGGGTAGATGTTAAAAAGTGTCTATCGTTTAATTTAATTAAAAAAGAGCGAATTAATTTACAAGAATTTTAAATTTATAAGTGACTAATAAATTATATTTAGTTAGTATGGAATTGTATTTAATAAAACTATTTAAATAGTCGCTATGGCCCTATAGATGGACTTGGGCTAATTATGTACCAATCCTCTATGAGTTTTATTATATTACCAATATTTATATGTAAATATAATAAATGTAGAATGGAATAAGACCTGCTATAGAGTATAAATCCTACAATGGACCAATTTGTCAAAACATTTCCAATTGACTTGATCCTACTATGAACTGAACTTTACAGAATGTCATTACCTGCAGATCGGCAAAATGTTTATCTAACGTTTATCTAACGTATAAAACTGGCCATTTGGCGTCGCCATGGTAACTCTTCTTCTAATGCAGTGATCTAATGGATTGGGCTGATACTCAAATTACATCAATCTTAATATTGTTGAAGGCTCCTTCTATATCCAAAAACGCAGCTCAATACAACTTGCCACCTCCTTTCAGGTAGGCATGTTTAGCATAGTACATAAGGAAGTATCGATATTGCTCCTAACATAGAGATCTATCAGTCTCTCAAGTGTTTTCAGTAGAAATGAAGTTAGAATTATAAGACTTTTTGCTGATGTAGGAGCTTAAATTACCCAGTCATAAACCGGGGGTTCTGTGCTAAGGTCCATGCCAAGAAATTGGTCTACTTCTACTGGTTAATTCCATAAATCCATTGGGCTAAGTGAAGTATGCGGGGCCAGTAGGTGTTAAGCCTGTTGATCTAACCTGATCTCAGTTGTTCAGGACAACTATATCTCTCCACGAACGATGTTAATGCGGTAACCTAAAGCCGCGGTAATGGTGGCGTCTCTATGAATGTCATTCAAAGCTGCTGTAGCTATTCAATCTCTTGCCATAGTGAACCCGTTAGGAAATGACAGGTGACATGAGTAAAGCTCAATCTAACCCCGACAAAGGAAAAGGCAATCACTCGTTAGAGTCGATAGAAGGGGCGGACCCAACACCAGATGAAAACACCCTATTGATGCTATGAGGAATTCCAAGTCCCTACAAACATTTATTATTTAAAGGTTCACCTCAGTGCATTCCTGAAGTTCACCTCATTGCATTCTTAAAGTCACCTCAGTGCATTCTTAAAATCGCCCAACCCCAATGCTGAGATGGCTTCTGTTGCTTTGGGAACCTAAAACCGTTGGGGAATGACAGGCGACATGGGTAAAGCTCAATCTAACCCCGACAAAAGAAAAGGCAATCGCTTGTTAGATTCGATAAAAGGGGCGGACCCAACATCAGGTGAAAACATCCTATTGATGCCATGAGGAATGTCATGTCCTTAAAAACATTCTCATGTCCCTGCAAACATTTATCATTTAAAGACTCACCCAGTGCATTCTTGGACCTCTTAAAGTCGCCCAACCACACTACTCATATGGCTTCTGTTGTTTCGGCAACAGCACTTAAAGACATAATTGGTGGTTCGGAAAAACAAATCTATATTTAATTAGTCAGACTTATTTCAGTGGCCACAAGGACCTACTGTGATAAGTTGACCATGTTTTAGAGTAAACTCCAACACACTCAGCCATGAAGGAAAATTGCCGATAAATTAAAGATTAAGATAATACAACTTCGATAACGTCTCAATCAACTTCACCGCCACTTCAACCGTTACGCCATCTGTCATTCCGACATCTCCAAAGAAACAACTCAGAATCCCTTCTATCCATCAGATACAAGTATCCGATTGTACATCTGACACCAACACATACCCAATCTTTGCATTATCAGCTCAAATCCTGTAGTACCAGATTATGTGTTGCTCTGGTTCGATCCCATGTCAAATCATTTTAAGGAAAGATCGAGGATACATTTGATCATCACCAGTTTATAGTCCGGGCAGACTAGAGGTATCACTCAGCGAAGGATATCACACTGGAGCGGCATAATTGACCGACCATTTGTTTTAGAGGTAGCCAACAAGGTGTCTTTGTCCATTCCCCAAGTGCAGCCCTTTTAGGACCTTGTTTCTACTTACTTCGAAATCTACCTTATAGGTCTAAAATGCTTCAAGTTCCAACGGCACCTTTCGAACATTGGACATAAAATTAATATTAACCTCGCTTCACTACTTGGGCAGATTCCTACTACTGAAGCACCTGTAGAAATAGTTAGTCCTCAGGATTATTACATAGCATAGCAGATAATTTCCGTGATTGTCTCGTAATTTTAGCTCGGTTAAAGAACGTGCTAACTACCGACTTTTGAACTTTGAGTTCCTTTGCCCACAATTTAGGTTGAAAGCTAAATGGCTTGTTCATAGCACCTTCCAAACAAATTACTTAGGGTTTGGATTCCAACTCAGTCGAACATTGTTGGCAAGTTATTTCATTTCGTTCTTCTAAAATCCCTGACAGGCTCACCTCCTAGGCAAGTCAAAATACAAACTGAAGGTTATACGTAGCTTGCATCCAAATATGATCTGTAAATCTAAGATAGTCGTGGTCTAAATTAACATTTAAACGTATAAAAAAGTCATTATCAGATCTCTTTCAAACATTTCTCTGGATCTAAAAAATAAATTCTCCCACCTTCACTGTGCATGTCAAAATGCACATTTAGAGTGACAATGACAACGACCTCTGTTTATTCAACGGACATCGCTTCAAATTAAGAACACATTAGTTATATGTATTTGATTTCAAAATCTTTAAGTGTGTCTAAATAAAATTATAAATACCTACATGGGTCACCCAGATTATTTTACATTTATAAACTGCTAACAAAACCAAATTAAATTGAATGCATTGTGTTCTTATAAATGGATTTATCTTTAAAATGCTCGTATAGCAGATCGTTTATCATTATTGCACATTTTCAATGAAAAATATAATGGAAAAGAAACGTTTAAAATATAAAATAAATAATAAACAACTTTTGTCAGATGATTCAAATAGATTCTTAGGGGATTACGATGATACTAAGTACTTTAATTATTGAGTAATATTAAATAATTGAAAATTAGGAAAATAACGGCAGTTTGTGTGACAATGCATCGTTTGTAATTTATGGATACAAAAACAGACCAAGACAGTTTGGTATACATGAATACCAAGATTTAAAGTGTTATTTGAGACCTATTTGTTATATTTTCTAAATGCAAATGTATTTTCAGAATAAGTTTTCGGTTTTTGTTTAAATTTTTATTCAAATTATATTTCTTTTTTATCTTACAGCTTATTTGTCCGATCCAAATGAATTAACAATCAACAGTTTTATTCAACAAGATGGTGACTCAAGTTCCTATTTATATCGTGATAGTGCTGCCAATCAAATATTTTCAGATGTAACTTCCGTAAGATCTTTAGCATCGATTGGCATTGGATCAACAGATGGTCGAAGAATAGTTATAAAAAGGGTGCCGCAAACACCAACGGAACTATTAAATATTGTTAATCCACCAACACCACAGTAAGTAGCTCTTTTTTAAATTACCGAAATATTAGACAAATCGATAAATTTGACCTGTGTATGTGAAACAGACTCTGACGATTCGAAACATACATATGATTATATTTTCTAAATTCGCATTACAATTAACTACACCACCGCTTTCTGAACATTTCCTAAATCGTAAATATTTACACTTGAAAATAACATTTACAATAACGGCCACATGATTTTTGTTTTAACATATTTATTTTCACAAATAACAGAAATTATGGTCAAAATCTTCTCATTAGACAAGTGTGAGAAGTAAATAAGTAGCAACACGTGCTTATATCCAAAGTCTTAAATGCAAATTTTGAAACAAATTTAGCAATATTTTCTCCAAAGAGAATATATTTCCATACTTAAGTTTTGGAAAAACAAAATTATTGACCATAAAATTAGTGTTTAATATTTTAAAAAATATAATAATAAAAAATTAACACTTCCATTGAATGACCAATATAGCACGATTTAATATTTGTTTAGTTTAAAAATAAAGAAAAACAAGTTGAAAACAAATTATTATTAATTTGATAATCGATGAATATATTATAGCCCTACATTAGGTCAAAATAATAAATTGCTACTAATATAGTAGTAGTTTAATTTGGAAGGGGTGGGTACCTTTACTCGGAGACCATTCAAGAGTCAGTTCTAGAAAAAAGTTGTGGAGTAGTAGAAAGCTTTACAGATATAAATTCACCACAGAATATCTCTTGAATTGCCAACCTATTCCCCTGACATAACCTGAAAAGAGACTATCAAGTTCATCTAGAAATCTAGTGCCTAGCCCTGTAAAACGAAGTCTCTGTAGTCTCGGATAACAGCACATAATGTGCTCTACTGTCTATATACATCCCCATACACACTCCACAAAGTATCCTAATTACCTTCAAAGACTACAATTGAACCGTGGCCAATTATCACTCCTAATAGGATATGGAGACTACGATAATCCAACTTAATAGATATTATGGTTGCCTTGCAGTCATTTTTGAACAAAAAGTTTTAGACACTTGACAAACCCCTAGTTTTAGGATTATATCCAAGCATGTAGGATGCTGCTAGTTGCACCTGTTATACCTAGACATGCACACTTTTGAGACCTTATAATGCTTCCTCATTGCTTTCCATATACGCTATACAATAGAGGGTCCCGTGGGCCATTTTTCTGTATTAATATCTCTTAAACTAAACACGCTGTTCCTCGGGACACTCTACTCTACTGTACAATCATAAGTTATAATGTGCCATACAAATGATTTAAACCCCAATTCTTTTTGAACAAAAAGTTTTAAACACTTGACAAACTGCCCTACTATTCCAGAATCGGTTGGTGGAGTCTCAGAATCTTTCAAAGATAAGCCTGTAGTAGTGACATGAGGCCTTACTTACCGCTCCCTAATACTATGCTCCAGATCTGAGCATCTCTCGGGCAGTTTACCTCACCTCATTTTCCAATTTCCCAAGATATCTGCCTGGGAAATACTTCATTCGTAAGAGAATCTGTATGATTACGTTTATGTGAACCCTGATAGACCATTTCTACTACACTCGCAACATGATAGTCAATAGGTAATAGTTTTAGGATTATATCCAAGCATGTAGGATGCTACTGGTAGCACCTGTTATACCTAGACATGCACACACTTTTTATACTCTATAACGCTTCCTCATGGCTTTCCATGCACACTATACAATAGGGGGTCCCATGGTCCATTTTTCTGTATTAATACCTCTTAAACTAAACACGCTGTTCCTCGGGACACTCTACTCTACTGTACAATCATAAGTTATAATGTGCCAATGATTTATATGTATGTAGATCCAAGTTACCATACTTGGCCCCGAACCCCAATTCTTAGAGTTCCAGTTTGTGTAATAGGCATTAAAACAATCCTTAAATCTATTTATTAAGTATTTATTTTCAATAATAATTAGCTAAAAAGGAATGTCTCTAAATACTTGGCTCATCCTGATAAAATCAAAACAACGGCGTCTAATTTCGACAAATTTTTGCTCAAAACGGTTTTTTGCTCACCTAATGCTTCCTTCATGATGTCACCGATATTGGATAGAAACTTCATTTTATTTAGATTATTCGCAAAGGCGACTATCTTTCTACCTTTAGATTTAAAGATATTGAGAATAGAGATAAAGATTTGGAGAAAGACCTGCATGTAAGTAACTCGTATTTTGATCTTATCATCTCCTAGAATTCAATTAATACAAGTATGGTAAAAATAGAGGATGCCTTATTTGGAATATTCTTGACTGAAGGACTATGTGCAGCGAATTTCATTTAAAATCGGAGAGGGGAATGTTTAAAATTATTCAATGCAATAGGCAAAGTATACTATTTAAAGGATTGAGCACATCACATCTGGTTTTCCAGTCATAAAGATTGAAACCCAAAGTTTTAAAAGAACTATAAAATCATGACAACTTGATGTGATATTCAGAGACCATATTTAGACTGAGAACCGATACTGAACGGTTTAATACGATTTCAATAGAATTTCAGAATCAGTAGCAAAGTAAAGTGACCCACAATCCTTTACAAAAAAACTCTGAACAACCAATTTCTAAATGTCAGCATTTCCCATAATTCTAACTAGATTTTTTTCTCAATAAACAGTTTTAAAGCAATTATGACACCCTAAATCAAATATAAACGAACTAAAGTAGCTTATAAATATTTATAACATTTGCATACTTTATTTAAATCTCTAATACTACGCATTGTAGAGCATTTAAATAACACCATTTAATTTTTTAAATACACAAAGCAACTGGTAGTTAAGGAAAACAGAGGTTTTTAGGATCTTAAAATTAATTTGAATATTTAGTAGTCGATAAACGTTGTATTTAAACGGACGGGCTCCTCTGAAGTGCATGTGAAAGTAAAACCCAAACACAAAACTAATTTCGGGCCAAAAAAAGCTGAAACAAAAAATAATTCCTTAAGGCAATGGCTAAAAAATAGTGTATAGGAACTAAAAATTTAAATTTATATTAATATAAAATTGGTTAAATTAAAAATTTCAAGAATTAAACAATAAGGGCATTAAAAGTTAAAACCTAAAAATGCCACCACGCATCGATTTAGAACGTTTATCCTCAAAATATTCTGAACAATCGTACACGCGTTTTCAAAGGGTGGCTAAAATGTAAGTGTCGCAGATAAATTATCAATATGTAATTTACAACAATTTATTTAAATTTTTTATTGGCAAAATTTATAACAAAAAAATTTAGCTAAATTATTATCACGTGATTTTTAGCCAGCAATGAGAAATGAGAAAATATCTTTAAAAAAAATTGTTATAATTTACAATTATAATTGTGGGATTGGTTATTTTTAGTTTCTCACAATTTAAATTGATGGTTATTTATTTTATATATATTTTTTAAATACTGGTTATCGAACTATTTTAAATATTTATTTATACAATTAGCGCGTGTTTTTAAGTTGATAATGAAGGGGTTTTAAACATACATATTACTAAAGCGGCGTTGATTATTAATCAAAAAAAAGGTGTTAAAGGTGTTAATACTATATAAATTATTTAAATTATATTATTTGTCTAGTATCTACTACTAATACTATGTATTTTATTAGAAAATATATTACATAAGGTTTTTAGTATATTTTTTATTTATTTATTTGTATGTTTGTGGTTTTAATATCATATCATACGTTTCGAGCTAATCAAATTTCTTTTCAACGGATATGGACGAATTAAAATGAAAAAAAGATAGACTAATTGAGGAAATATTTTCAAATATCACATGAATACTTTGATTATAAATGAATGAGAATTTATAGCAGAAAATAATTTTACATATGAGTAGTTTAATAAAATCAATCAATGAAAAAAATTAAAAAAAAGTAAATCTGATATGAATTGGGGTCTAACACAAACAATATTTGACCCTTATCATTCACACATACATATATAAAAGCTCCTTGTTCAAATTAAAATTAATTTAGTTTGAAAACATTTTATTAATGACAAACTTGTAAGTTTTAATAATAGTTTTAGTTTGAATTAAAATTTACATGCTTGAACATATTTTAATATCTGGAAATTTGAAAATAATGTTAAAAATATTTACGTTCAATATTGGAAAATGTAAGAAAATTGTTTTCAAATAAAACTACATTTACATTTTTATGGATCAGCATGATTTAAAGAACAAATTTTCGAACATATCTTAAAAAGGGTTATATTCTGAATCTATATTGAAATTATTGTAAAATTTTTTAAAATTAAAAAAAAAAATCAAAATATTTAAGTTCGAACTGGCTTCAAATAAAACTTAAACTATTTTTTTTTTTTTTTTTTTTTGAATCCTCAAGAGAGATTCATTTAATAAATAGATATGGCTATAAGGCTTATTCGAACATAAGTTCGAATTTTCAAATATAATTATAATCTGAATATTCATTGAAAATAATGTAAAATTCATAATGATAATTTTGAAAGCTTTAAAAATTCTTCGAACTTAAGTTCGAATTTTCGAACATAGCTTAAAAAGCTTATAATATGAATTTACATATAAAATTCATAAAGAAACAAGTAAAATGTTATATTCGGTTGTGCCGAATCTCATATAGCCATCATCAAATCGTATGCCGAAGGAAGATTTACGTTGCTATAAAAGTTTCTTAGGATTTTGGCTCGTAAGAAATTTACTTATGTTATATATCATCTCTATACTCGTACTTTTAAGCCAGTAATGAAAGTTAAAGTAATTATGTGAAGGGGACCTTATATGGGGGGTAGGATCAATTATGGATCAATTCACATAAAATTCGGTAGAGAGGATTTTGCTCGTAAGAGACTTACTAGGGTCAATTATTGACCGATCCATATAAAATTTGACAGAGGTTTTGACTCGCATGAAACTTATGTGTGTCGAATTTCATCGCTATGAACCGATCCATATCTGAAAGAGTTTTTGGATCGCATGGA